CTTGGAAACGGGAGCATGGGGAGCGATGGCCTAGTGGTTAAGGTGTCTGCCTCTCAACCAAGGGATCATGCATGGGTTTGAGCCCTACTCGGGTCACCACCATGTTTCTTCATACGACACCAGTACTGTTCTGGTACTAGTTGGTTCCAGAAACCGGACTCGAAAGTGATTGATATAAGTTGCAAGAACTTGTTTCGCAATCGAGCTAAAATAAATAGCTATGTTTAAACCAATTTGACGGTAGCCGGATGTATACGTAATATAATTAACACGATTAACCAATGAAAAGCACAAATGTGAATGAACAATTCTGGTGTTACAGCATCTGTTGTCTATTCACTTGTTTTGTTTTATTATCTTTATTATCATCAGTTTTATCATTATCTCATTATCTTTACCTTTATCTATAGCCCAATTTAGGTAACCTCGTCTTATAAAAATTTAATCCAAAGTTACAGGCACCTTATCCCTCAGGAATTCATATCTTTAAATTCTTTAGAAATGCTAAACATCTGTTTAATAATGAATGTTTTAATAATTGATTAAGATGTAAAATGTTTAATCATTCAAAAGAGTAGCACTGAATGTGCTTCACACCAAACAATCATACTCATTTTTCTTCTGAAAAGATGTTACAGATGTTAATAACCATGAATAAAACTTGCACTGTGTAAGTATAATAAAAATGTTAGCATGTGCGATTTTTGATTTTGACTATACTCATTGGGACTTTGGGAAAACATTAAATTAAATGTCATATGTAAGCATTGTTATAGAATTGCATACATTCTGCAATTTAACGCCATGTTTTTGCTTTTTTTTTGTGTGTTTTTTTTTTACCGTCGAAGGATGAAACGTTATGGTTTTTGATGTCATTTTAGTTTGTTGTTGATTTTTTCCATTACTCTGAAAAAGATTTGCTAAATCGCACTAATAAATGTTGAAGATAAAAGTAATGTGTTTTGTTTGTGTATTTATGTTTATATTTTTTGACTTACAATAAAAAGCTTGTTAGTCTTACTTGCCGTTCACTTGCCCTTTTGGAGTTTATGGTCTCATGTCGCATGCGAGCAGCGGTAAAACTTCATCCAAACCATATAAGCACCATCTGATAACACTATTATCGAAATAAAATGTACTTTCATTCATTCATTCATTCATTCATTCATTCATTCATTTCTTTTTTTTTTTTGTTATTGTTGTTGTTTTTGTTTTTTTGTGTGTGTGTTTTTTGTGTGTGTTTTTTTAGGGGAGGGGGTCGGTTGTGTCGTAAACACGCTCACAAATTCATGAGAGAAACACTTGCCGTGTTATCTTTTCTACTTTATTATATCCAGAAACAGTTTCCCTAATGTCCTGCTGAAATATAGACAAATGAAATTTTAATTATAATGACTTGAAATGTAATGAGATCTACACCCAGTGCACCCTATTGTCTATTGTTGACTAAAAGATGCTCCGATAATTAAGTACATTATCCGAGTGCATTTTTATCATTTTGATTTTGAACTTTATCAAAATTTATGACACACGTGCAAGATAATTCAAAGGTTAAATTTTAAGTATTTTCCGGATATCTCTTAAGGTTGATACATTGATCACTAGCAGTAAATGTTGATAAGATGGTTATAATTGTGGCTGTAAACGTTGTATTCTCGTCCTGGTACAAAAATGTTGTGTCCTCGTATCTGGCTGAAAAAAAACTTGTTTTCTCGTATCGGCGAAGTCTATGGTAGCTGAAAATAATGTGTCCTCGTATCTGGCTGAAAATGGCGTGTCCTTGTATCGGCGCTATCTCTGGTGGTGGAAATGCTGTGTCCTCGTATCGGCGCTATCTCTGGTGGTGGAAATGCTGTGTCCTCGTATCGGCGCTATCTCTGGTGGTGTAAATGCTGTGTCCTCGTATCGGCGCTATCTCTGGTGCTGGAAATGCTGTGTCCTCGTATCGGCGCTATCTCTGGTGGTGGAATGCTGTGTCCTCGCATCGGCGCTATCTCTGGTGGGTGGAAATGCTGTGTCCTCGCATCGGCGCTATTCTCTGGTGGTGGAAATGCTGTGTCCTCGCATCGGCGCTATCTCTGGTGGTGGAATACTGTGTCCTCGCATCAGGCGCTATCTCTGGTGGTGTAAATGCTGTGTCCTCGTATCGGCGCTATCTCTGGTGGTGGAATGCTGTGTCCTCGTATCGGCGCTATCTCTGGTGGTGGAAATGCTGTGTCCTCGTATCGGCGCTATCTCTGGTGGTGGAAATGCTGTGTCCTCGTATCGGCGCTATCTCTGGTGGTGGAAATGCTTTGTGTCCTCGTATCGGCGCTATCTCTGGTGGTGGAAATGCTGTGTCCTCGTTATCGGCGCTTATCTCTGGTGGTGGAAATGCTGTGTGTCCTCGTATCGGCGCTATCTCTGGTGTGTAAATGGCTGTGTCCTCGTATCGGCGCTATCTCTGGTGGTGGAAATGCTGTGTCCTCGTATCGGCGCTATCTCTGGTGGTGGAAATGCTGTGTCCTCGTATCGGCGCTATCTCTGGTGGTGGAAAATGCTGTGTCCTCGTCATCGGCGCTATCTCTGGTGGTGGAAATGCTGTGTCCTCGCATCGGCGCTATCTCTGGTGGTGGAAATGCTGTGTCCTCGTATCGGCGCTATCTCTGGTGGTGGAAAATGCTGTGTCCTCGCATCGGCGCTATCTCTGGTGGTGGAAATGCTGTGTCCTCGTATCGGCGCTATCTCTGGTGGTGGAAATGCTTAGTGTGTCCTCGTATCGGCGCTATCTCTGGTGGCGGAAATGCTGTGTCCTCGTATCGGCGCTATCTCTGGTGGTGGAAAATGCTGTGTCCTCGTATCGGCGCTATCTCTGGTGGTGGAAATGCTGTGTCCTCGTATCGGCGCTATCTCTGGTGGTGGAAAATGCTGTGTCCTCTCGTATCGGCGCTATCTCTGGTGGTGGAAATGCTGTGTCCTCGCATAGGCGCTATCTCTAGTGGTGGAAATGCTGTGTCCTCGTATCGGCGCTATATCTGGTGGTGGAAAGGCTGTGTCCTCGTATCGGCGCTATCTCTGGTGGTTGGAAATGCTGTGTCCTCGTATCGGTGCTATCTCTGGTGGTTGAAAATGGTGTGTCCTCGTATCGGCGCTATCTCTGGTGGTTGAAAATGGTGTGTCCTCGTATCGGCTGTGTCTATGGTGGTTGAAATGAACCAATACAAGTACTGTCGCCTGATATATATGGAAGCTGAATTGTTGTGTCCTCGTATCTGGCTGAAATGAAAATTCAGCTTCCAGAGATATCAGGCGACAGTATTGTTATTGGTTTATTTTGTCTGGGGTTTCCATTTGAAACAAAAGTGAAAGGGAAACAAAAGTGAAAATGGCTGGGGCGACATCTCGGGATGTTTCTGCAGAAAATTGTCTCGGACTAACGACCTCGCCAATTTTTTTAGCTGAAACATTCTTCGATGACGCCCCAGTGTTATATTCTCGTAACTTACAAGTTTCATATACTATAACTATTACAAAGACAAAAAATCTTTACTTATATGTTGCATGATCAAATGTTATGAAGTCTTTTTTCCAGCAATGACACTGTAACCTTGATAAAGAGGGGATTCAACCCCTCGAAACGTTGGAGTGCAATAGATAGTTGATTACTGTAACCTTTGTCAGAAGGTGTTTATTAGATATCACGTATCATATTAATGTAAATATGGAGATCAACAATTTTCTACAAAATCTCGTAAAATCTCGCAACATGATGCGCTAGAAATGTTATCTGTATTTACATCTCAGTGCAGTATTTCCTGATAAACAGTAAATTCCGCGTCTTTTATCGGATTTAACAGCGATACGAAATAATAATAAGATTTAAAATGCTTATGTCGGTTTTAATATGATATTTATAATGATATATAGGAGTCTAATGCTATAGATCGACAGTCAGTTTCTAGTTGTCGTATTTAAGCCTATAATGTTTAGTTTCCGACGTGTATAAGCTAGAAAGACTGTCATAGATTAAGAAGTGCAAGTTGAATGGAGTGTGTTTGTATGTGTCTGTATTTGATTTGATTTATACCCGCCACCGGTGCCCATATGGGCGAGTCCCCCATAGAATATTAGACGACTTTGGTGGATAGTTCAAGAAACAGATAAAGAAAGATGCCCGAATTACAGAAGCTTCTTCTGGTTCTTAAGCGTACCCAAGGGACGCCGATTTAAAGTTTCATCCGGAAGACTGTTTTTGTTGGCCAGCATGGGAATCGAACCCACAATGTCGAGATCACAAGTCTCAGGTTCTAACCGATTATGCTATGCGGGCTGGTATGGGGTGTGTTTCTCGTGAAGATGTTGCAAGTGACATAGTATTAAAATACGTATCATGTACTGCTTAATATGAAGACTTGAAGGACGTGTCGTTGGTTGAAAAAAAAGAAACTCAATTTTCAAAGTGTATGCCACATTTTAGGTTGACATTGGACGTAAAGTTTGCATTTTTCTGAAAGGTATCATTTTTGTGAAGGCCTACCCTGTGCTCAACTCTTGAAGATGTGTCATGGCCCCTTAGGTGTACTGTTGGCTTTGTTTGCGATATGTCAGAGGGCGTGCCATGATGTATTACTGTATAGAAGGTATGTCAGGCTTGAATGTTATATTGTAGCCTAAAAAGTGAATCATGGGCTAAGAGTGTGTGACTGTATAAAAGGTATGTCATACTTGAAGTTCGTCCGCTAAGCTCAACAGGGTAGGGCGTTGGACTGTGAATGCGGCGACCCTGGCTCGATTCAGGTCATTTTCGTTGTGATTGATCATGAAATCCTTTCAACGATCATCCGCACTGTACCTCCGTTCTGACATGTACAGAAATATCGGTTCCTTGTGAAAGTGAAGGCTACTAGAACTGTAGTAGTAAACGGCTGGACAGCCTGCCCAGGGAATGTGTTCTGTGCGATTTTCTCGAAGGCAGTTCAGGTTCGAAATTGATACATGTTTAAAAATTAAGCAAAATCATGTCAGGTTGCAAACATTTATTTCAATATACAATAACAGATTATATACATTGAACCCTAAGTAAACAAATCGCCTAATATTATGTTTATAGTTGCATGTTTAGACGAGGATGTTAATTGACAACCACTTGAAAACTTTATCTAGCAATTTCAAACTTCCTCTATTTATACAATGCAAACAAGTTAATTAATAAAAATAGGATAAAATCAAGGTTTAATTCTTACACCCCATTCATAAAAAGCATCAGAAGTAAAATGTGGGGAGACAAATTTATTAGTTCTGCTATATAATTAATACTTAATATAAAGCAAAAATGGATCTAGTTCTTTTTCAAACACATACATCGGGATTGACTTTCCCCATATTCAACACCTTGTGTTGTTTGAGTCGTTACGTAATAAAACTGACGTTATAATTCTTCAATTTTTGTCAAGCTAAAGTTTGTTTACGCATGTTACAGAAAAATAAACATGTAATAATAGAAGGAATAAAACACGAGTGCACTAATCTGGTGAATTCTATCAAATGTTGATTGCGTAAAGTTATATTCACACTGACCCATAAGTACTTTTTATTTAATAAATACAATTCTACCAATCAACTCGAGCAATACAACCTATCAGAACAGCTCACTGGTGTAACATATATTATCGCCAATCGTCCCTTAGTTTAGTTTAAACATATTAATTTCCTTAACCATATTCGTCCCTCATTTATTCGTATGTTGCAAAATATGATATTTTCTTGTCATTGGAAGTAAAAATAGAAGAATGGATACAGATTCGACGTACGTATACTCTTAAATTTTTCACACCATTGAAAATGCATTGGTGTTCTAAGATAGATCAAAAGTAAATGTTCACGCTCTACAGTAATGTAAATACTTGTTGTTTTTTTTTTTGTTTTTTTTTTAAACTGCATGTTTGTAAAGTCGATTTTCATTGGACGTTCGTGAAGTGTATATTATTTATATATACAGCTACTGTAGATAAATTACTGAGCCATATAACCTGTCAGAATTCTTCATAAGTAGTTATATTATTTCCCGCATGGGTTATATTGCAATCAACCGTATATACGCGGGCATATAAACATGTCAAAAATCCGTATAACAAATTTATAATTCATTACAACTCTCTCATTTGAATTAAAACTAATTAATGAATTTACAACATCAATACATATAGACCTTTTTATCACGCGGTCCGTTGCAATGAAAAATATTATTTTCTCGCACATGCGCAATCTGCGTAGGACAAAAAAGCATTTTATAAATGTCACGGCTATCCAGTGAAAATTAACTTTACAAACGTGCAGTCCAAAGTCATCATAATAAGCATTATAAAACAAACATAATGCTTTTCTTTTCTTAAAGCCTGGTCCCGAGTTTACAGGTCATTCGTAATGTTTATATTAACTGTTTGATTTTAGCTGAAATAAGTTCTAATATGGCTAGTAAATTTTCATGGACTTCTCGAAGAGTTCGCTCATGTTATCTTCATGTACTTCTCGTGGTGACAGCTTTATCAATCGGTGCTGAAATAGATAAAAAAACACACACCATAACATATATACAAAGGCACAGGGAAACGTATTTATTACATGCTTTTCGGTGGTTTATAGAAATATATCCGTGATATAAAACTGGTAATTTCACTGTTTGAAACAGTGAAATTACCACTTTGATAATTTCACTGTTTTGAATTTAAGCCCCTTACGTTGTTTCAGTGAAATACCAGCGTGCACAGTACTGGGTACCAACTTAATGACGTAACGTCGTAAATGACGTCACGTTGTGTTATTATTTGGCGCGCTTTTCATTCAGTATTAGGTTCAATGTCTTTTTAAAACGTTTCTTTGCATATAATAATAAGGAAATTTGTTTAGTTTAGTGTAAGACTGAAATATATTTCACCTTGTGAACACCAAAAGTTCATATTTCACTCGTGGCTGCGCCACTCGTGAAATATACCTTTTGGTGCTCACTCGGTGAAATATATTCCGATCTTACACTGAAGTAAACAAATATCCTCTATTTATTTATAATCATACAAAGACAGTAACATTTCTGTAATATCAAATACATGTACATTAGTATATAGATACTCTCAAAACATGACGTGTGGCATTACTGATTATCCCCAAGAATTCATGTAATTAAATTATAGGCAGAAGGACATTCTAGTACATGTATCAGATATAAATTTAATGATGCCACTCACTACCAACAAAGCACGCACCACGCAAACAAATATCGGAAGAATATTAGGCTTAAAGCACTGTGATATTTCTTGTCATAAACAATTTTGTCGGCTAAATGTACAATTTGTTTCATTTTCGTTCGAATACAATGTATGAATTTTCAGATATTTTAAGTTTGTTACAACAGTCATTTCATGCTGTTTTTTTATGTTAAACTAACAATGTAAATGACATGTGGCGACTCCAGGCCCAAGCGTGCACATGTGTAGGACCGCGGGCTTTCTGTGATACAGGGTCAACCGTATTTACAACGTTTGTTCGATTTGTTTCACTCAATAGTGTAATACTCTAATTAAATAAATGAGCTGCGTCACGACAAAACCAACATAGTGGGTTTGCGACCAGCATGGATCCAGACCAGCCTGCGCCTCCGCGGATGCGCAGGCTGGTCTGGATCCATGCTGGTCGCAAACGCATTATGTTGGTTTTATCATGACGCGGCTCAAATAAGCCAGTTCTTAAAGTTTACACCTTCTACCATATACTGTCAAACCAGCATCGGAACCTACATGTAAAAAAGCATTAGCAACACAGTCAGGACTGTTATTCTACATTTTCAATTTAAAGGCCCATTATGCCTCAGATATGCTATCATTTCTTTAAACATTTTATTTTTTGGTATCTTGTTACAGTTTCCAAACAAGTACCCATTTGCCATATAAACTACATTTTGCTTCTGTTGCTCTAATAGCAATTGGTGTAATTATAGTGAATAAGTACTGTTTATGGAAGTGAAAGTACTATTTTGCTTACAATTCGCCACCTTTACGGCACATTTCTTCGCGTTCAAGGCTGTTTTCTTCAGTTATTAAACATCTTACATGCCCTAAATCTATTATAAAAAAACATTATCAAACACACGTTAACAGTTTTAAAGAAATAAAAAATACGGATTTATGAGGTATAATGTGTCTTTATAAAGCACGATAAAGTTGCACGAGCAGACATTAATTTGTCTATATTTCCCTATCAACACACCCTGTTTTAATGAAGCTGAAACCTACAGGTTTTGAATATATCACGTTTTGTCAATACTTTAACAGACGTATATTTCAGGGAAATAAGAAACTTAATTAAGATCGTGAGGTTTAATATCTGCTCAAACGGACTTATTAAAGGACGGCATTTGAGCATATTAACTGCTGGAAATGAAAAATATCTCAAATTACACGCAAAGTACAATATTTAATCCAAAAACATGAAAATTCCTTTTCGAAAATTATTTATTTGATATCAACAGCGATTTAGATATGCTATAGTAAAACGTTGACAGTTCAAATGTAACAAAAATGATACGTTCTCCAAAAGGAAAGACCAATTTAATCAACAGCAATGCGGGCGTATGACGACAGTAAATTAATGAATTAATAAGTAACTTACGTACATACTTTATAATATGAACAGAAGAGAACAGAATGTCTGTGCTAATCATTTAACTTGTCAAGTTTAATACAATTTAATTATAAAAATTACTATTTAACCTTAAATGCCCGATAATGTAAATATTATAGACTCTAGTACAAAGGTATGTAAAATGGCAAATGAATCAAAACAATCTTTAAAAATGAGACAGGTGTCTAAATGTTAAAAGTTTCTGACAGTCAACAAGGTCGGTGCAGGATGGGGGACATGACTCTTAAAGAGTCTTTGACTCAAACTCGTATTGTAATGAAATTGGAACGTTGCGTAAAATCATGACGGTGACAAAAACTGCAAAAACAGTCATTAATTCCATTATATAACATCTAAATTATTTCTTGAATTGTATTTTTGTTTTACTTTTCTTAAAATCTTAGTACATTTTTCTCAAGATTGATTTTCTTGATAAATTTTGGCTCATTTTGGGTACATGCATTTTTAAACAAAGGTTCAGTCGGATGTTTATTTGAACAGTACTAAGTATCTATTCATGTGACCATACAATGGCGATTACCGACCATTTAATGCTGTACAAATGTACTCGTATTATGATATTACTTAATTGGTCAGGTGAAAACTCAATTTTTATTTTACACGTTTTCGTCTGCCCAGATTAAACATAAGCAGACGGAGCACTGACTGTATGAAACATTTGTTGTCTCCCTTTAAACTGCTTCTACCATATATACAATGTATGTTCATACCTGTGGCATAGCGCCGGCAACCATTGTTTTCACGTCGTCGTTGGAATAACCAACCGCATTGAGACCATTTGGTACCTTCAATTCATCAAGTATCTTCCGGAGACAGTCAGACAAGATCTTGCCAGCGTCCTCTTTTCGCGCATTGCTAATATCAACACCTAAAATAATTCACATTTTAATATACCACATGTGGCATTAATCTTGACATTTTGACCCTGATATTAGGCATTTCAGGACGAACTCATAAAAGTTTTAAAGTCAAAGTTGAAATTACTGAACATAAACAAAAACTTAATAAAAAGTTCTCGTCATTTTATATAGGGAAAGACATTGTTAATGTAAATATTGCCGCTTCAACACTATTATTATGTTTATTCATTTAATTCTGCAAATGCCGCAGTATTACTTTAATGCTAAATATAGAATTTACAAGTTGACATTTTCAAAATTACAAATCGTGTCACTATTCTATACAGCAGAGAGGTTTTATAACAGAAAACATAACAGCGACATGAAATACACCTGCCTAAAGCTTCTGCGGCTCCCAAATGTCTGTCTGGGCAGGCTGGTGCCGTAAACTCGAACACGGCTGGAGCGGACACAACTACTGATAAACCATGAGGCTGAAAGAGGAGAAATGATAATAACATGTGAATGATATAGAAAGGTACAAAAATATTAAAGTTTAAACATACGAACACATGATTTTAAAAGTGAGACAATGCTTTATCCGGTGTAATCGTTTACTAAATTAGACGATCGAATTGGAAGTTGACAACAAAACGATCTTGCCAGCATATACATGTAGTTGGATACAGCAAACATAACTGTATGATTTCTTTAAACTATTTGTAACAGGCATAATAGGAATATGGTTTATATATTTCTTTTTACAGCAAACTTTCAAAGACTGGTAAAGTATTAAGTATTAAGTAAGTTATTAACTTACAATAAGAGGCAGATCTGGGTTATATCCCTTTTCAATATAACTTTTAACATTTCCCGAAATAGGATACGACATTCCATGGCTAGAAAGATAGAAAACAAATTTAAATACATGTATCATGGCTTGCTATAGTAAAAAAACGTGTTTTTTTTCAGTATGAAAAGGTTTTTGTCAACTGAATATATATGATAAGATTTAATGTTCTTCGATAAAAACTATCGTAGTTAAGCCTAGCCCGGGTGGCCTCGTAGTTAAGCCTAGCCCGGGTGGCCTCGAGTGGCGGCATGACCAAGTGGTTAAGGCGTAGGACTAGTAATATGAGGATCGCTTGCCGTGTGGGTTCGAAGCCCGTCCGGGGAAAGCCAATGTTTCTTTGCACTCATTGCTCAGTACTGGATTGTTCCAGGAACAAATTCGAAGATGTGTCTAAAAGATTATAGGTTCCTGCACTATCGAACTAAATAAATCCTGTACAAACTTTAGTGACTTTTTTGTTTTACCTATCTCCTGTAACAATTACATTATGTAAACTCTCACTTGATATGTTACTATACATGGCATCGTATATCAATTATGTAAACTACATACTATTATAAATGAACTCGAGATTGTTTAGATGACTTTTATGAAAACGGAGGAACTCGTACTTGGATAAGAGTAATTTAAAGTTAAATATAAAACATTCAAAAAAGAAATACCACAGATGACACCCAGCGTTTCCAAATCCGACGCCAGCATATGCACTGGCAAGATGCATCGCAGCTCTTGCTTCAAAATCGTCAGCATTAAATGTGGCTCTGTTAAGTGTAGAAGACTTATATCATTGTCAAGATACAAAATTCATATATGTTGTGATTATGTAGATAGGATATAATTCTATTGGAATAGAATTGCATTTAATGCAACTTTAAAATGCACTTTTCTAGATCAAGGTATATGCAATCTAATTTAACAAACTAATAAATAAGTCTACGTTACTTGGAAAACATAAGAAGATCTGATACACTTAACAAATATTCAAAGTACTCCGAATGTATATCTCCTGGGCCAAATTGTAAGTTATTTTGTGTTGTTTAAAAATAATGAAGTATGGGGTGTGTTCCACAGATCATGACCGCTTAAAATAGATTTTTGACTGCATTTCACGTTTTATTTCTCAAATGAAAAATGCGTTGTTGGACATGTAAAAGTTATAAGAAATCAAAATTCCTTGTATGTCTCTTACCTAAAAAGAGTAGAGGGTGTGTGAAATTTCGTGTTCTCTTTTATATTAAAAAAAACAAAACAAAAAAAAAACAAGGAATTTTGTTTCACATTTTACGTAAATGGCCTCCCAGTAGGAATACTGACCAATTTTCTTCCATGGAGCAAGCATTATGAAAATACTCGAAAGATTAATAGGTCAAGTTTGACGCCGAATGCTACCAAGCCGGATGTGTCAATGATGAAAATAACAGGAAATGGTGTATAATACAAATGTATATAATTATTATTTCACAATCTAATTTTGTTAAGTACAATATAACACCAGAGTACTTAGCACTTTAGTTAAGTGTATAAAGTCAAACTCGGTCACATGCCTAGTGATACGATAATTTTATAGTGATAAGATAATTTTATAAGTTGAGGAAAATGTACAACGCTATAACTTTAACTCTTTATGCACTAGCCGCATTCCTGACATTAAAAGCCACCAATATGGGGTCATGTTAGCCTGTGAAATGTTAAAATGCCCAACTTCACTATCTATTAAATAACCAACGTGCAAAAAATTGTTGTCTTAGTAAAGTAGGGCAATGTACTTAATAGAAGCCTTACCTTTTGATGAACTTTGAGGTAAGTTTTAACGCATGAAGAGACCAAATGTCGCTGATTGGATTACAACCTTGGTATGCTGGTCTTAGCAGTGGGTCGGTCGGCCGTGGAGAACGCTCGAGATAAAATTTAGCAGTGTATGATTCTATAGCATGGCTGAAAATAAACATTTAATTTATAGATACGCGCTTAATATATACATGAATTTTGTTACTAAAACTTTAACAATATGTTGTGTAAACGGTAATATGATTGAATCGTCATGTTATACCAAAGATTGTTCAGATATATATAATAAAAACATTATTTTGCAGGAGTTTAAAGGCCCGTATGACACGTTCGTAGTTGAACTTACGTTCGTAGTTGAACTTACGGAATCATACGAACTACAGAACGTAAGATTTTGTTCGTGAAGAACTCAAGAGTAATTATGTACACATTTCTTTTTAATGATCTCAAATTAACCAAATCTGTTCTGTTTTTGGAATTAAGTATGACCCTGCATGTTTAAATTTAACCAGGAAACTATTTTTGTCATAACAATTAGTTGAACTGTTATACAGGTCAACGCATTATTTTATGAACTCCAGACACTGTAATCTATGACCGGGTAGTGGCATGTTAAGCTGGTAAATAACCGTTCAATTAGCGCCACAAGGTCATGTTTGAAGATAGGATCTTATGTCAAAAATTTAGATTATATCATTACATATGATATAATATTAAACTTATCTACGATTAATTTACAGCTTGACGATGCTTCAATGCTATGTTAAAAGCAAACGTATCTACCTACCACAATACGTCAATTCCGGAATAGCACGCGACACGTTCGGGCATGGTTACTAAATGTTCGGGATCCACAATTCCAAGTGTGGGTCTAAGAGCTCTATTAGCAATGCCTGTAAAATAGAGAAATATAGAATAAAAAGCTTTTGATGGGCTTCAGGAGATTTTTTACCCAGCAGATTAACAGGGACAGGACATGTTACAAAACAAAAACATATAGAATCTACTGGTAAGAGTATATAGTACAAGTACAATGTATATATACATGTATAAGATTGAGAATATTATGGTTTAGCCGGTGCTTGGGGAGCCTGAGGGATGTTGCTCTTTTTCATTGTATATAATCTCATGTGCAGACTCAATCAAACGGAGTCCATAATTTTCATGTAATATTTTTGTGATTATTGCTTTCGAGGGATAACATTTTATCAAGATTTTGATGTATTATACATGTATTAGGTTTGCCTGGCTAAAGTGAGAAAGCTTTCTTTGAGCTGTGTAAACCCTTATTTTGCAGGACCTATATCAGATAAATGTATCATATAGTAAATATCTCTAAAAATAGGCTTTGTTCAAATATGGCTACCTAATATATCCTATGAATACAGTATATCAGCTTCTCCATGTTCTCCGAGGCCAAAGGCTTAAAATAATAATAATAATATCCTTTTTCAAGAAGGTAACATATAAGCGCACATCTAAAATACATCTAATTTTCATATGGCAAAAACAGGTACAATGTCATATATGGGTTTGTCTATTACCTGTTTTGGCTTTCATTGGAAGATAATCAAACACTGCAACACCAGTTGTTTCACTTCCGGTTCCAGCAGTAGTAGGGACTGAAAGATCATAATAAGGGATTATTTCCAATTTGGAGAGAAAATTCAGAATATTTAACAACTATTTTCCACTTTACTTTTTAAAGTCGCAGGACGTTTGGCGACATACTTAAAAAAAATAAATTAACGAATTTAACATTTAAAAAAACCTTATATAATTGCTGTTAAGTTTCACTTATGTCGTATAAGATATTCATATAAAAATTTATAAGATTGGTACAAAATGCCATGCCTTAAATCTGAATTCCTCCAGATGAGCCGATATATTTTAGGAAAAACAGAATTGGGAAACTATAATAAGATTTTAAGAAAAGTAATAACATTCACAAATTAAGAAATAATTCACATGTTATTTGCAATAAATTGTATATTTTATCAGCATATTTCTAATGAGTGATTTACGCAGTAATGGCTATTTTTTCATTCCAACCATTTTTTGGTATTTTCTAGATTTATAGTGCCGTTTGCAAAGTGTTAATTACCGTCTTAGTTCACTTGACAATATTCTACTTTATAATACATTTAAAAAGAATAATCAAAATTGGAATGAATCTGAAGGCATGCTGCTTTAAACCTATTACATGTATTACAATGAAATACATTTACATCTAACATAACTTTACCTTTTCGTGGAAAAAAAAAGACCTTGTCTTACCTGCGATCAAAGGTTTGAGCTGATGTGTAATTGGGAGACCTTTGCCAATTGGAGCATTCACAAAATCTAGTAATGTTGCGTCTGGTTTTGTAGAATACAGATTAGCTGCTTTACAGGTATCTATTACACTTCCCCCACCCACCGCCAGAAATACGTCAAAGTTATCGGCCTTTGCAAAGTCGATACATTCCTTGAAACTGTATAACAAGATAACAAAAATAATTTTGATGCACAACATCATAATCGCCGCACATGTTTATGTAATAAGTTGAAGTAATGAAATGTCATAATCATATCTAAAAAAAAAGCATGTGCAAACATTTCTTTAGGTAATGTGTAATACAAATGCATTTAGTGGTCTATTCATTTTCGTACAGTAGGTATTTATAAATATTTCAAGTGGTAGAAACATCATTCAACTTTGGAGCGCTTGTTAAGGTCCGTAAACTAGCTTATAAAAAACCATGGCCTACGAATTTTGGGATCAGTGATTAATATACATATATTACATGTGTATAAACGTATTCAGAACGGTAAAACAAATACGTATTCAAAATCTCAGTATTCCAAAATCATTAGTTTGGACGATGCAAATTTATATTTTATTTTTAATTATAATATAATAGCTGATGCTCCCAAAACGATTGCACAAATTTCCTGAGTGTTATAGTTTGCCGCCGCGTGAAATAATCTGATTACGACTTATGTGACATACCTATTTGGGTGATAGCTAATTTATATTGAAAACAATGTCGTTGATCAAAAGTTTGGTACCAAAAAATTTACCTTTCATCTGTAGGTTCAACAGCTACTTTGTCGTAAAGTTTGAAAGGTACACCTTGTGAACTAAGGGACTCTATAACCGTCTGAACTGGCTTCATTTTAGACAATCTACTGTCCGTTACCACCATCACATTCTTAGCACCCATGTTCTTACAGTCCTGTTATGAACAAACATTCCTTGGTTCATAAATAAACGTACAATAAATGGACGTGCTTTTTAGAACATTCATGTCTCAATATATCAAGTAATTTATACAAATATTTTGCCGGTCCAGTTTAGTTGTCTGTTTTGAATTTTGTCCTAACTGCAAATTTATTTATTTATTTATTTACTTAGTTATTTAATGGCTTCATAGTGACTTGATACTAATTTCGGTGTATTGGTAAGTCATGTTCTTTCATTAAATAACGCTGAACAATTACATAATATCTATAATGTACAGAATTTCAGAATTGATCTGCAAACAGTTATAAATCTGATAATATCTCAAAATCATCATTTGAGAGTCGTGGTTCTATTTCATGAACATCAATTCCAACTTTCGTAAAATTGAGCTAGGGACAAAAGCTAGTTCGGTGCTTCTTGACGGCGTGTATGTGGTAGTCAATGACTCATGACTCATAAAATCATACGACATAGATGTGGTATGTACGGAATATATACCGTGGGTTATCGACAATGTAGTCACTGATGCTTAATTGCTAGTTATATCTAACAATACTTACCATACCTACTTCCCGCGTCGACCCAGCGCCATACCTGATGTTGGAGCAAGCCATTTCGATGGCGTATTCTGTGTCCGGGGACGAACTGTACGCTGTAATTATTGTTATCAGAAGTTATTATTTTATGATATAAAAATACATGTATATCAAGATAGATAGTCACGTTTTGACACAAAGTTATTTTAAGAAATACTATGTGGGACTGTGTGTAACCGTGTTAAAATGAAAACTATGGGTAGTCGTGTTAAAGTAAAAACTCATTTCAAACAACGTAATAAAGATATTGATGGACCCTGCCATGGTTTTGGTCCTTAACACATATGAAAAATGTTATACGAGATCCGTGCTTATTAAATTATGAAAATTTGATTTGCTTATTTGGCACCGTGATAAAGAACTTCGGAAAAAATCGCCATTTCCGTCATAAAGACCATAATATATATAACCAAGATCATGATCAATAGAAAGCTGAGAGTACGTAATTACTGCGTTCAAAAGATCTGCAGAGAGTCGATCGAATTTATAGATCTACTAAATGGGTTGAATACCTTAAACATATTTCGTCCCACTTGGTAAGTTTAATTATGTATGGCCTTGATTTACAAAATCAAAACAAAAGAAAATTTAAAAGGTCTAAGGCTTTACAAACTTATATTTTGTATGGTAGTATAAAAGCATTTGTTTACATTTACCACCCCTTTGAAAAATTACTTTACATTCAGCGCTATTTTGTTATGGCGAAAAGCCTCTTATATGTTTTAAATCTATTATCAAAAAAATATAATTAAACACATGTCTTCTTTTTCTTCTAAATAAAATAATATATTCATCTCTGAGGCATATTGTGCCTTTAAATAACATAGAAAAACTATGGACTATGTTAAATCATTGCTAATGCACTTTTAAAATAAGCAATAGAATGTCTTGATTTGCCACTTACAGCTTTCCACTCTTTGAATATAGACCTTTTTACAATACAGTATTTCCATAGAAACGGAAGTAGAATTCCGCGCATGTACATTCTGCGTAGGGCAAAAAAAGCAATAACGAAATAATAGATTCTATCAGTTTTCAACAGTTTGATATAGTCTAAATGATTAAACATAATTAAGTTTAAAACAGTTTGTTTTACGTTTGCAATACAAAAATATCTTTTAAATTAATATGATATACTAACCTTGAAGTCGAGAAAGAACACATCTGAAACAAAATAAAAAGAATATAATTCAATATCGTGTACAGATATGTCTTTTTTGTTACTTTTCTGTGTTCTAAATATCATTACTGTGCCATTTTTTGGGTTTGTATGATAATACTAAATAGGTTTAAGGTCGTTTATTGAATTTTCAGAATTTGGTTGTGGAGACCTTTAGATGTCCCTTCTTTCGTTGCTTTGAAACAATGGAAGCCTATATTAGAATACAGTGTATTTCATATGGTATTATACAACCAACCTAGATTTAAAACCTACATTCTGATCCGCTGTCATATTATCATTGCTTTTCCGTTGTGCATTCCGCCGGTGTGCAGATGATATATATTGGTCTTACTCTCTTTATCATTACAAACAATAATTCAAGTGTTTACAAACTTGTGCAAAGTTATAACAAGATAAAAGTGACATCTTTAAATTGATAAACGCCGAGTGATCAGTTTTGATCGTTCAATTAATGTATAAACTAAAAAGGGCCGGTGAATTTATGCAAAAACAAAGAAGGGCCGGTTAATGTATGCATTATAAACATGCAAGAAGCAGGAATTCAAAATGTCAGCTTTTCTTCCATCATCAAACTGTTTATTTCAGACAGACCTGTAAATACTTGCTTACGTTTGACGGCACATGGCCAGAAAATCTTTGTATATCGGATGCGATGTTGATTAAGCAAAAAAAAAGAAGAAAGAAAACATTTTCAAGTCATGCAGGAATCCTGCTTGTAATTACATGCGTCAACATGAACCGAGTCCGCATGTTATAAAATATATGAACCGTGTTTTTTTATTATTATTATTTTGTTCGACGGATTTTACTAACATTGGTGAAAAAAAAACGATTATGTTACACCATTTTAAAATGACATGCATGCCTAATGCTAATTAAAATATGGATAGCAAAATTCACATCTACTTTTGATTTGATCTTTATTATACACAGGCAAATTAGAGTATATTTCGAGTGAAGAAACGGAATTCCTCGTCACTATTACATGTATAAGTAGAACTGCAACTTTTACATACACAAAACAATTTCATTTTGTATAAAACAGTATGTTAATTCACTGGAAATTAATCAAAATAAATATTTTGTATATGACACACAGTATACAATGTATATGTATTAATTAGATACATATTGTACCAATCACTGTTGCGAGTACTATGTGCAGGTGTGTGTTGTAAGTACTGTAAAACAAAAGGAGAAATTCACAGCAATATAAGCAATATATGGTGTACTTGTGAGAAAAATTATTATCAAAACAAACATCGCTGATAAAATGATCAAATATTCGATAAAACGTGTTGAACGTGTTCAAAAAAACCCTGGTCTTATTCCAGTAATCCCAAGGACATGTGCGGGTAAAGAGGTCACTGACTGAAATGAAAATACATGTTAAACTGCTTTAAGTATGCACAAACTCTGGATAAAAAAGGGAAAATGAAATAAACAGTCGTTAATTTTCCAGCAATTATGGTTACTGTATCCTTGATAAAGATGTGTTTAACCGTTGGTGATTTTGATTGCATTATTCCATTAGATATAAATCATACCCTTCAATCACTTAATATATACACTTGCTTATTTACTAATCAAAACATTTTTTTTATTAAATTAACGCAAAACTGGAGGTGCGCTGCTTTAAAGTTTGTTATCAAGGGAGGTAACTCGTATACCGGATAACAACATTAATTAGACCGTTGAACGTGTCCTACTTATTATTAAATAAACAAAACTATAATGCAATGGTGGATATTTACCATATTTAAGAAGACTTTATAATTTATATAAGTAGAAATTAAACAGTATGTAGATTTCTAATAAAGAAGGACTTGCCTTGCAGAATTGTTTCGTAAAAGCTGACTTGCTTCACATCTAAGTATTTTCCCAAGGCTTGCCATAGTTATTAAACTCCTGAAACACGACTGAACTGTAATCCGATAATAGTTTTAACCCAGTCGTTCACACTTGTGACCCGCTGTACATAACAGTATCCTTGGCGAGATAACGAGTGTGGTTTTACTTAACAGCCTATTTAACACTGGGTGATAAACTAGGTCGCAAAATGCACGTCTGATGCACATTGACACTCTATCTGATTTCCTACCAGCTGTTAATAATGTGTAAAAGTTGAGATTTGTATCTAGGATGCGAATTTGTTTTTATTTCATTCGTTTTCCACTTGGTTAATCACGAGAAAGAAAACAAAAACAAGAAAGCATTTAAAACGAAATTGGAATTGTTTTCATATTACCAAGGATCACTACCACGTAGAAAGTTTGCGCGATTGTAATATATGTTTAACCAGGAAGGTTTATTTACATGCCCTGGCTAACACATACAAATCAGGGCCAATCAACAAGTGGCTACTGTTTAATGGACCTGATACATTCACGCATGGAAAATCTCGAGACTTATATTGTGGATTTCCATGTAATAAAACGTAAAAAACACATTATTGAGAGATTTCGAGAACTCCATGCGTATTTAATGCCATTTTCACGGTAACATTGACCAGTACATAATGCGCGACATCTTAATATATCCCTAAATATTTACAGACAGCTATATCATCTCCAGGTGCTCGACATGATATTAATAATTTTCTATCAAGATGTATAGTTAAAAACAGTTATACAATTAAAGGGACTCCACTGATGTTTAAAAGCGTAAAAACATGCATAACATGTGAATCTCATACATAAATGAGCTGGGGCATTTTGAAAAGAAATAAATACAAAGATAGTTAAGAAATATACTTTGAAATAAATTGGAAATCGCATTTTTATGCTTTTCTTAGCCCGATTTGAATGAAAAGCGTAATTTAAACGCTTTTCATTTTGGGTCATTTTTTTACAATTTGAATTATTATTCTGGAAAAACGAAGTGCGCGAATGATCTAAAATTTTGCACAAAGATTAGTGGTCTAAACCTACATCAAATGGTACATTTATCTGGAAAAAATATTTTCAGTCCAATCATGTCAAAAAACCTCAGTGGAGTCCCTAAGTTTTCTATCATTCTATCAGTTGTTATGTCCATAAAATCACATGAAATGTAATATAGAGAGGTCAAGTTTTAATTTGATGCTCGCATAATACATTCATTTGGATAGAAGCCGGGCTGAATCAAACCTAGCTAGGTGATTAAATGAATTCTCAATGATTCTTTGCTTGTTCAACCCAGTCGAGTGTGAGGCTGTACGATTATGTATATTGTTTCGTACTTCTCGCTAAGTCTGCGCTAATTAACAACCGTTTATCGACCGATGAATGGGTAAATATTGTTTTGGACTACAAGATCAATATTAAAATGTACCGGTGGTGGTGGGGGTGGTGTTGGTAGTTTTCACCCCGAATCACGACAGTAAGCCACATTGAATTCACCAGAGCAGAGTTCAACCACCGCATCGTTCCTGGGCAGGCTGTCAAGCAGTTTACCAGTACTAGTTGCCTTCACTTTCGTAAGGAACTGAAACTTCTGAGCATGCCAGAGCAGAAATACAGTGCGAATGACCGTAGAACGGATTTCATGATCAATCACAACGAAAGAAACTTGAGCCGTCCGGGAATCGAACCCGGGTCACCTATTGCAACGATCTACCTATTTATTTATTTATTTATTTATTTATTTATTTATTAGTTTATTACAGTCTCATCAATGTACACAGTTAAAATACATATAAAATACAATATAAATGTACATTGCCAATCTATAAGATTTACAAGAGACTAAAGGTTGACTTACTATTTACATATAAAATTCTAAAAATCTAAAATACCCTTGCTAATTTAAACCAGAGTAGAACATATGATAAAATGAATCTACTGATGTAATTTTTAAAATATTGAGGTAGCAAAGTACTTCCAAATTCTATATAGAAATTATGTTGTGGTTAAATTTAATCAGAATCCGGTTTAGAAGATTATTAGCAAAGGTATTTTCTAAATCGTACATGTATATCTAAGAACACATAAAAGTTATTTAAAATAATGTCAGTTGTATAAAATTAGTTTTCTTCTATTCAATATGTTAAAACAGGTTTTGGCAGTTAAAAATACAATGTCTGCATTGGAGAGAATATATCCTACTTTATCAATGTCTGAGAGGCATCAAAAACCATCGTTTAGCATTTGTGCTTCTCGAATCAAGTCGTTACGAATGGAATCGTATAGAGGGCAATATAATAATACATGCTTTTTATCCTCTACAATAGTTGACAGTGGAGCACAATCGTCGTTCCACTGGCAAACCATTGTAGCGTCCTAACTCTATACCGATTGGAGTTGTGCCACTGCGAAATTTAGCTAAGGCACCCCTGTGTGACCTGTTCAAAATTAACTTACAATAATTTTCAGTTTCAAAGTTATTCTTGAATGTTTTATATAATCTTAATTTGTTTCTACCAGAGCCATTTCGGCCTGATTCTTGATTAACAGTACAGTTCCAATTATGAATGTAATCTTCTAGTACTTTAGGCAATATAATATTAAACAACTCTTGTTTTTGTATCGGATTTTCAACATTGAGCTAACCGGACGGCTCTTGAAATGTACCGTGCTTCTGTTCCCCTTTTATGTCTTCTTGTAAGTCTGCCCAGATTCTAATAAACTCCCCAATCAGAATGAAGAGATTTTCAAATGTGTCTACATAAGATAACAACAGAACATATTGAGTGGTAATTAATGGAGCAATAATGTTCTAATATACATGTATATATAATTTATCATAATAGAAGCATTTTGAAAACATGTAAAAGCATTATACTAATATTAACATATGTAACGTGTATAAATGCAATGATCCTAAAAGTGCTGTAGTACCTTTCGTGTTTCATTCGCGTTGGACAATATTATACCCTTAAGAAAATTAAACTTTAGTGTGATGCTAGCAATGATTGTTGCTTTTTTCTACATTTATAAATATGTAACTGTCTACCATTTTGACATTCAAGCCTAATTTCCTTTCTCTTTAGTCGAAAACGTGATTTCTACATTCGTATTTTGGCGGGAATACAATATGTGGTTTAATTTATTGTTCCTCATGTTTTTATCCTATTTTCAAAACATATCTGGGATTGAGTCATCCGAATACAAATTTCGAGCCTGAAAGCAGGTTCAATGACTTAATTCAAGACTTAAAATACATACATTTAGGTGTGTAAATGTGTCCCTGCTTCCATCTAATAGCATTGCATCGCCCAGTTTCAGAAACTGCGCGAAGAAGTAAAGTTCATTAGAGTACAGTTTTTCTAATGACGGGGAGGTAACTGCCTGAAGATATGTTTGTTTAAGCTCTACCAAGGACCATTTTCTAATCTACAATTAAAAAAATAGATAAATAAACACCAACCTGACATATTATATCAACCTAAAATCGCTACCCGTGCCGTGTGTTTCTCTCCCTATCCCCACATCCCGAAGATGTGCTAGTTCTACGTGTTGAGAGAATTCAGCTAGTTTATGCCTACTCTTAATATATACATACATGAATGTATATCAATAAGCCAGTCTGGTAATTTTGTACCAAATGAGAAGAATACGTCTGTATCTAATGCGTATTTTTTTCCTTTTATCTCGTTTACTTGTACTAGTACAGCTACTGCTGCTGCCAATACTGGTGTTGCTATTGCTGCTGCTGTTGCTGCTATATGATTTCTGTCACTTCTGTCGCTACTGCTGTCACAAATACAAACAAACTGAAATACTGTCAAATGTAGAAAGGGTCTAATGCTCTTGAGGTGCACATTAAAATGCACTGGAAATGCACATGCAGTGCACACCAAGTGCATTTTGTGTAACCTCTGGTGTGAACTCAATTGTACACCAAATAATATACCACCACCACGAACACGAACACCACCTCTACCACTACAACTACTACTACATTTTTTTCTTCTTCTTCTTCTCCTTCTTCTTCAAAATACGGAACATAAATCTAATCTGGATTCAATTTGTCCAAACGAAGGTACAGTAGGGATAATGAACTTATTAGGCCTCCGTGGCCGAGTGGTTAGAGTCGTTGACTTGAGATCACAGGTCCCTCACCACTGTAGGTTCGATCCTCACTCGGGTCGAAATCTTTCATGTGAGGAAGCCATCCAGCTGGCTTACGGAAGGTCGGTGGTTCTACCCAGGTGCCCGCTCGTGCCTGAAATAATGCCCGGAGGGGCACCTGGGGTCTTCCTCTACCAATAAAGCTGGAAAAGATCGACGAAAAATCTCGGCGGGGCGCTCTAGGATGACCCGACATGAGTGTACGGTCGCCCATATGGGCTTTCCGGCGGCGACCTTAAATAAACGCATAAAAAAAAAATGGCCTAAAGCCATATTGTATTTCGTGTCTTCAATTGATAGGAGCTAGACTAACATTGTCTTAGAAAAGAGGAATAAACACTATAATTCTTACGTTGTTTTTCACTTTTGTTGGATAAGAAATTTCTTTCTTAGACGCTGTTGCGCAGTTGGACTAATTTTGCACAAAAAAATATTTGGTGGTGTTCAATCTTAAAAATGTTATGCAGGGGAGATAATAAAAAAAATGCAAAATTATGCTACAAGTATATACGTAATTCTCGTCGATTATTGTTGAATAACCAAAAGGTTTAACTGTTTTTAAAGGGTAATTATATAAAACAGTTTTTGTTGTTTCAATATATATTGTCCTAAATGACTTCGTCATGTCGCCTAAGTCGCTTGCCAATATTAGATATTGTGACATTATTCGGACAGACCAATTTTCGGTTACAAATTTATTTAAAAACTAACTTAAAATCTATGGACATTTCTCCTATTCATAACACTAATTATCAAATCACAATAACTAATTTTTTTTATCTGTGTATATATGATATTATTGTTGAACATACATTAGGCAAAAATTTGATCTTGAGTATGATAATGTTGACATCTGCTATACTTAAAGGTCTAGACATGTTTTACTAAGTACTGTCATACAAACTCACTAATACAGTTACACCTAATTGTTATTATAATTCAGGGACATCATAGGATAACTATATAGCTATCAATTATGAAAATTAAAGTTGCGGCAATCATCCGTTCATCGTTATAATTAGTTATTAGAAACAATAACAACGTTTTATTGCATTATATTGCACTATATTGCATTATATTGGCCTACGGCCTGGTCTCGGCCAAAAGTGTATTAAAAAAGACTCTAACTTTAGTTAAAGTGCTAAAATGCTTTTCAATTTGACTTAAAGTGGGAGAGTTCACATGTATGCTGCTATATTTTAACTCTGACAAGTTTGATTATGAACAGAAATCTACATGTATAATTATATACTTTTTACAGCAGTATGACATTAACAAAAAAGGGCCAACTTTTAATTGGACATTCTATAGGGGTCATTAATGTATACAAGAAAGAGGAGTCAAAGCACTAACTCCTGAAGGGCTCCAGAAGTAACCTGTACATCTTTAGAGAGGGATCCATATCCATATTATTCTCATATAATTCTGTAGTCTCAATATTTCAGCTGCATGACAGACCTATTTTACAAATTGATATTACATACATGTAGATCTATATCTGAGAATAAGGGGCATCATATATAACAAGAAGAATATCAGCCATAAATTTGGTAGATCAAGGGCCCTGTATTCATTATCTGATATGACAGTGACTTTTTTTTTCAAATTTCCAAACAACCTGTGGCTTTCTGAAGGGGAAAATATAGTGTGATAAATCAGAAAAGGGGTTAATAAAATTATGGAATTTACCCACACTTTTTTCATAAATTTTTTAATTTCAATTCAATTCTACATACAAGGTATACAGTAGAGGCTATCTATAGGGACAGCTTTCTGTCTTCTAGCTGATAAAAGTCAGCTGCTGTTAAGTTCTGGTTCTGGTGAAGAATGTGCACAGGGCATTTTAGGGGAAAATATTAGCATTTTCAGGGGAAAATATACCTATTTTGGGCTAGGGGAAACTGCCTTTATTCGGCTGTAAAATACAGGAAAAAAATCACTGTATGAATATATTTCATGTTAATTTTGTGAATGTACACAATAGTAAATTGTGATTATTGTCACGGTTTAAAACTGTTTACTATTTAGGGGAAAAAATAAGCGGCCAAATAGTTCATTTGGTTAAGGCGCAGTACGGTATTCCAAGGATCCATGGTTCAAGTCCCGGTCAGACTGCACATTTTTCTCACCCTGTAACATTTGGAGCCCAACATGGGACAGTGACTACATTTAGCTCAAAGTTTAATTTACATTGCTTTGTAACTCTGTGAAATTCTAAACGAATTTCAATATAGCAAAAAAGTATGTTACGGTTCAAAACTGTTCACTATTTAGGGGGAAAAATGTGTAAGCTGCAAAATAGCACAGTTAGTAAAGCTGTGGTATGGTATTCCAAGGGTCCCGAGTTCAAGGCTGCACATTTTTATCACCCTGTAACATTAGGATAGAGAAGACAAAGATGTGTATATTCTGTAAGATTCTTTTTTATATGCCCAAAAGAATTTCGGGCATATTATGTTATACCCCCTGGCGTCCGTCCGTCCGTCTGTCCGTTAGCAATTTGGTTTCCGGAGCATAACTTAAGTTCCATTTGGACCACAATATTCAAACTTCATAGAATGATTGTCCATATTGGGTAGAAGACCCCTATTGATTTTGGGGTCACAAGGTCAAAGGTCGAGGTCACTATGACCTTTAAACTGAAAACAGTTTCCGGAGCATAACTTGAGTCCCATATGGCCCACAGTGTTCAATCTTTATAGGATGATTGTCTATATTGGGTAGAAGACCCCTATTGATTTTGAGGTCAAATGTCAAAGTCACTATTACTTTAAAACTGAAAACAGTTTCTTGAGCATAACTTAAGTTCCATTTGCCCCACAGTGTTCAAACTTCATAGGATGATTGTCTATATTGGGCAGAAGACCCCTTTTGATTTTGGGGTCACAAGGTCAAAGGTCAAGGTCACTATTACTTTGAAATTGAAAACAGTTTCTTGAGCATAACTTAAGTTCCATTCAGTCCACAATATTCAAATTTCATAGGATGATTGTCCATATTAGGTAGAAGACCCCAATTGATTTTGGGGTCACAAGGTCAAAGGTCAAGGTCACTATTACTTTGAAATTAAAAACAGTTTCTTGGGCATAACTTAAGTTCCATTTGGACCACAATATTCAATTTTCATAGGGAGGATTGTTATTTGAAGGAGGTAATACTTTATTCAATTCCAATGTAATACAAATGCTTCATCTTTACTAAAAGAAATCACTTTCGGGCATATAATGCTCTGCCTAGCGGTGCTCTTGTTAATACATGTACCATTAGCATGAATTATCTTATATTTTTCTTTCACTCTGTTTCAGATACGTTTGAATAATTACATATATATATATATATATATATTCTAATTTCTCTTGTTTATCTTTTAACAGAGAGACATGTTGCTATTTGAGAGACACAACGAAGATTTACAACGGCACATGTACAAGTTGTACCAAGATGGTGACATGTGCGACCTTGAATTGTTTTCTCAAGATGGAGTCTCATACCGAGTTCATAGACTTGTTCTCACGGCATCATCTAAATATCTGTATAACCTTTGTATACAGTCCACTGATTTTACCAGTTTTCCTTTAAGTAAGTTACTTTAATAGTGTCGTCCCTACAGAGTAGAAGGGACATATAGCCTTAAGAATAACTTCTTTTTTCAGAGTAAAGGCCCTTTAAAGATTTATATTTTTAAAGTTTGTCTGGACTACTCTTATACAACTAATGCATTTTCAATGAAACTTTACAGGATTGATCTGTAGCTCAAGCACTTGCACATATAACACAGGTTTTGTGGTTGAACAATTTTGGGCTGAGTTACTGCCCTTCAATAAAAAATGTGTTTTGCAATATTAATGATTATTGTGTCTCCTGCTACACAGTACATTTAGCTGCAACATGAAATTGGCACATATGATCACTGATTGCTCTTGTATTTATTTTAGCTCAGATCCTCAAATAAAAAGTGTGCATTAGCAGGTATTCATTAACAGAGAAGATGACATGCTTTAACAGACATAATCATTTGAGCATGTTCTGTAAAATATAAGTGTAAAGTTTGACAATAATTATAATTTTCTAATGACAGATATTAAGGGTGATGTACTGCATGTTTTGCTGGAGTTTTGTTACACAGGCAAGTTATTCCTGACAGCAGAAAGATGGGCAGATCTACAGGAGGGTGCAGTTATATTACAGGTATTACCAGTAACATTTTTATTAGACCATATCCTCATCGGTCGAGCTGGTTAGATAATTACTGTAAAATCATTTTCTATGGGATTTATTTACATGAAGAAGCTATAAATCTGATTAAAGGGTCAGTGGTTCTGCTCATGTGTTGTTATAAGCCTGTGATTAATTCTGTGTCTTCCACCAAGAATTATGTTTCCAAAACAGTCAGAGTGACTCAAAACTTGTTTAGAAAGAAAAAAGAAACAAAGAGATGAATCTTGTTTTCAGGCCTTTGTCAGAAATCAAATATTTTGAAGTTGACTGAGAGCTTGTAGCAGTGGTGTCACACTTTGGTAAAGTTTTTGCATGCAAGTTGCTATCTCCAAAACTACTGAAGGGTATTGGTTGAAACTTCACACATTTGCTCTCTGAGATTATCAGACATGATGGGCACAGATCCCATAACTCTCTTTTACCTTTTTACAGAGTTATTTAGAGGCATCCATGGCTGAGTGGTTAGGACTGTTGACTTCAAACAGATTGCCCCTAAATGCTGTGGGTTTGAATCAGGACAGGGGTTTTGGATTCTTACATGTAAGTAAGCTATCCAGCTAGCTTACTGAACATCTGTGGTTCTGCTCAGATGCCAGTTCAAACCTGAAATAATGCACAGAAGGGCACCTGAGGTTTTCCTCCACCAGTAAAGCTGGAAAATCCCTATGTGACCTATACTTTGTGACATAAAACCCAAGAAAAATAACAAAAATAAACAGAGTTATGCGCCTTTTCTAACCATCAGGCACTGAATATATAGTTGAGCACACAGACAGCTCTTGTTATGTTTTCAGATGTACAATGTTCTTGAATTGCTGAGCAAACAAAAAGGTGGAACCAGTCACATAAATGAGAATATAGAAGTAGGGAACCAGTCACAGACTGGTGATTATCGTGTAGATAATAACAAGGACAATTCAGCTACTAGTCAATATAAACTTGAAGGTATATTACAATCATTGTATTAAAATTTATACAAGTAGATGAATGCAAAAGGCACAGTGTAAGGTCTGCTGAATTTTTTGTGCCATAACTTTGAAAGTGCATGATACAAAAAGTATTGTTTGGATTTTAAAAAAGAATACTGCCAAAATGCTTGTATAAAATAAATATGGTAATTAATTGCCTTAAAGCAAGTGGTGCATGCACATAATCATTGCTAAACGGATAAAACCTTACTTAAAATAGCAAAATAATATTCTGTTCCGAAACATTTTATTCTGTTTATGTACATTATTCATGTGTGATAAATAACAGAGACATTCCATGTTACAACTTTTTCGGGAATCAACCATATGATAATGGAACCAATGTAATTTTACTGTTGATCAATTTTATGAAATTATTTCATAAGATATAGCTTTATACCCATTAAGCTAAACGCTGTAATTTACAATAGAACTGAATGTTGTTATTTACACCAGAACTGAATGTTGTAAATTACACAAGAGCATACTCAGATTTATTTATCTGTACAACATTTAATAGGGTGAACATTGTTTAATTCTGAATTTTTACATTTATAGGTCAAACAAATATTGATGATAATGAAACACTTGAAGGAAACCAATCTAATCAAATTATTATTGTAAAAGAGGAGGTGCCCATGGTTAATGAGGAGGGTAATCCACAGGGTTCATCGTCTTATAACAATACTGAAAAGGTCAGAATCGCAAAATATAAAACTCGGTCATGCTCAAAAGTCAATGAAACTAAAAATGATGTAAAAGACGTTGAATATCTAGATGACCCTAATCACAGTAAAAGGTCAACAGCATTTACAGGGGTCAAAGGTCGTAGATCATCTTCAAAGGTTAACAGTAGTGATCCAGATTATGAACCCGAGATTAAAAAGGTTAAAATAATGAAAACTAGAGTGATCAAGACAAGAAGTAAAAAAAACTGTAAGGAAACAGAAAATGTTAAAATATTCAATGGATCTGATGAAAAAAGACAGATTTTTATAAGAATTAAAAATTCCAAGATTAAAAAGTCTGTTGGGTGCAACAGGAGGAAAAAGGCAGGCCGTAGTATAAATAGGAAAGTTTTTGTCCCTAAAGGTACAAGCAGAAGTTGTCCAGATTGTAGCAAGACCTTCATGTCCTCAGTTTTACTTCATAGACATCAATTATGTGTACATTTTACCAAAAACTGTTCTGGTTTACGGCATATTCATACCGTAAAATTATCAAAACATAGCTCTGATATTAGTAACTGTGAGATAGATAAAACCTTTCCTCCGCCACTTATGAAATTTAAATGTAGAGTATGTAATATTAGGTTTACGAAATATTGCCAGTTTACACTGCATCATCGTAAAAGACATAAAAACCTTACAAGACCGCTGGAGAGTTGGTTAAGATATTGTTCAGTTAAACTAGCTATGCAAAAATTACTTGTGCCATTTGCAAAGGATAGAAATTGTAATAGTGGTTTAGTAAGTACAACAAAGGGAAGTGGTAGGAAACAAAAGGAAAGGACATTTCAGTGTACGTATTGTAATAAAATGCTCCTAACACATTACACACTGGAGGCACACAAGAGGAATATGCACGGAGATATGGGGGGACGGGAAATAATACGTAGAGAGAAGATCGTGCCACCTGAGCCACTGTTTGTCTGTGCCGATTGTAATAAATCTAAAGGGACATTGCGGGCACTCAATCATCATTTACAGGTAAAAGTCATATTGCTATATGTATTAGGTAGTACAAAATAACATGATATGATGAAAATATCACAAACCGACATAGTTTATCAAAACATGTTTCATTTTAATATGCTTCATCAGTTGATATGATACATGTAAGTAACAAAGGAAATGACGGAAACATACCAAACAGACGTCAATGTTAAAAGATGCCACATTTGGCGTGTAAAAGATAGGTTATAAAATAAATCGTCTATAACATTAATAAAATATTGTAACATGGGGGTTTTTATTAAATAAGAATATGTTACAAAGGTCTGTAAAAGAAGTTACATAGTAAATGTTACCTTTGGAAATTTAACCAGATTCATAATCATGATGAAGTCCATGGCTAATAGTTGATTATTGCTTGAAAAATTAAGTTTTCTGCAATCTCTTTTAGCTTCAACACAAGTACAGCTCTAGTGAAGCAAACAGTATACAGCACTGGCTGCCAGCCAGTCTACCATGTGAACACTGTGAGTACAAGACACGGGATCTACAGATAATGAAAACACATGTGACTGAGGCACACCCGTTTGTAAAATACCAGTGTACGGAATGTTCCCTCACATTTAAGGTAAACAAATTTACAGGCTTGTTTTGTTAGTTGTGCTATTTTAAATAATGTTGCATTTTTGACAATGCAGGACAAGCTTACCTATGAAATGATCTACTTAAAAGTTAGTCTGATAGCTTCCTCACATGAAAGAATCCAAAGGTGGTGCTGGGATTCAAACCCACAGCGGTGCATGAGTGTCAAGTGGTTTGAAGTCAATGACCTTAACCAATCGGTCACAGACACCCCTATTATATACTTGATCTTTTTATGATAATATATGTACGTACATATACATTTTTGTATATGTTTCTAGGTTCTTCTGCTAATGAAGCGTCATAGATTTAGTTGTCACGTGATAGGAAAATATAACTTCCACTGTCAGCACTGCGAGAAGTCATTTAAGAAAGGATCTATGCTGAGAAAACATGAGTACTTTAAACATGGTATTGAGCACGATGATGTGAAGGTATGTATATGTGTGTATAATGTCACTAATTATGAATTCAATTTATCTGTAGATAGTATTACTGTAATAATAATCTGTAGATAGTATTACTGTAATAATAATTATGAATGGAGATGCTAAAATCCAGCACAAATATTTTAAACTACATTGTATATGTATACATATTGCATAATACACTGCATGTTTGTAATGTTGATTTAATCACACAATTGAGATGGTTATATATATGGCTGGTGCAAATATTTTCATAAAGTTTTTGTCTTTTCCAAAGCAATACTGATGTGCATTATTAAAAATTTGTTATAAAAACTTGAAACAGATTAAATGGTCATATATAAACAATCTTTTGCTATATATCCTTGTGAAACCATTCTTACTTGGCGAAATAACCTGTCAGATATATACAATATCTAGACCTAGGTGGCAAGATAGCTCAGATGGTTACACCACAGACTGTCACTCCTGAGGTTCCGGGTTCGATCCTGGGTAACACCCTTGAGATTTTGCAGAAACACCTTCAGTGTTTCCCACCTACCTAAAGGTTAACTGGTACTAAACCTAGATAATCCTTGCATGTATAAGTGCTATACACTTGGCATGTAAAAGAACCAAGAGGTCTATTCAATAAGAGCTAGGGACTCATTCCCGGATTCCCTTATATCTCATAACTGTCTCTGGAGTCTGCTGAAGTAAGGACCCTACTGGCAATAAGTCCTTGTCCCCCCAGTCTAAAGAAATTCATTCATTCATTCAAATGGTCATAATTTGTTATAGAATCTGTGGCATAAAATGTATCTATGACAATAATGCCTAATGATTAACAATATTGTCAAATATAACCATTTTGACCTGTTATATTTATATATATATTCAACCATAATGTAAGCCATTATGCTGCCATTCCAGATCTCACTTATAAACAACATTTAATGTAAGAGGAAATAAATCGTGACTAATCCAATATGACATTTCAAGACTTATATGATTTCCAAATGTGTCACATATTGTAGCAGTTCAATGTAAAGTAACCATTTAATAACATGTTAATAGCTTCATAGTGACATATTGTCTAAGATAAGAGCATCTCATAATGTTTTTTATCTCAGCTGGCATAATCGTAATTTATATATTTTCATTTTAGATTTTTTTCTGCAAGCACCCAGGTTGTACGTACAAGACGTATGCATCAACAGCCATAAAACTTCACCAGAATAAACATGTGACAGAGAAATTATTCCCATGTGAATACTGTGGACTTAAACTCAAAACCAAATTGTAAGTTTTGTTGACGAGGTACTTTCAGTGATTTTTTACCTTAGATAATAGTGGTCAATAAAAGGCATCTTTCCAATTGAAATTTGTTTAAGATCATTCAGTTTTCCCAAAAATATGAACTTAAATTAGCTTTTTACGTCCCAAGTTAGCATTTTATGTGATAATTTTCCACGAAAGCATGAGGCTTAGACTGAATTTTTCCCAAATGATTGAGAGAAGAAAAAAACATTAATTTTTTACTATGATAATTATTTTATAATTCTCCAAATGGTATAATGTCATGTGTTTATGGCACCAGTATACATGTAGAGTAAAGTAGTTGCCAAGTGTAATTCTTTATGAAAGCCTCAAATGGTATAATGTCATGTGTTTATGGCATTAGTATAGAGTAAAGCAGTTTTTATATCCATGCAGATAACAAAATCTCTGATTCTATAACCTGCTTAAGGCAACTTTATCTGCACATTTAACCAGTGTAGACCTAGGTCAACTCTGGCACTTTGGTACCATGGTGGATACTGTTGGCTATTCAGTCAGTACATCTTTAGTCGAAAAATGGTAAGTGTGAAAGGAACAAATCAAAATTTAAAGCAGTGAAAGTATGTTAGCGTAAAGGTAAGCATTCCAATGTATGCCAAACATTTAATTTAATTGTGTTAACCTGTACTGTTATACAGATATGACTAATTATAATATTTTCAGGATTCATGAAAAGCATGTGGCAAAGATGCATCTTGGGATACGTCCATTTTTGTGTCAGGTGTGCGGTTTGAATTTTGGAGAGAAACACGAACTTCAGTCACATATAACAAACAAACACTCCAATGAGAGAAATTATCAGTGCCAGTTCTGTTCGTACCGTACAGCTGTGAAGGCAACTTTTTTTAGTAAGTTTTGACTTACCAGTATTAAACTTAATGTATTGTAGATCTGTATAAAATTAGTTTGGCTATTCAAATAATATGGAGAGATATTTTTGATTTTTCTGACCCTGGCATCGGTGTCACACTTTGATTAAGTTTTTGCATGGAAGTTAGTTATCTCCAAAACTACTGAAGGGAACGGATTGAAATATTATTCACACATGTATTTGAGAGTATAAATAAAAAGGTCACAATCCATAGCCTGTACCTCTAACTTAGAATTTAATAGAATGGTGGCACTTTTTGAACTTATAAAATTCTACATAATTCTACATTATGCAGGCTCTTGCTTTACTATCAAGCACTGAAAATAGTCGAGCGTGTTGTCCTACAAACGGCTCTTGCTTTATTTTATATTTATACACTATTCGCAGTTTAAATTGACATGTTATTTTCAACACTTTTTTTGTTCATGTAAAACTTTTTATGCCCCCACTTAAGGGGTGATATAGATTTGCTCTTGCCTATCCATCCTGCTCTCCTGCTGTTTAGTCTGTAGACAGTGGAATGTTGAAAATCTTTGCTTTTTGGACACATTTTTAGTTACTTACTTATTAGAAAAATCCTTCATTTAAGTTAACATACATAAGGAGGCATGGTGTTTTAATATCCTTTTAAGAATTGGTACAATTTTCTATTTCAGCTCATGTTTTCAACGTGCATAAGGTTCGGGCCGAGGAAGACAAGAGAGAACTTTTCTCATGCCCGCATTGTCCATTCACGTCCATCCTCAAATATCGATACCAGACCCATCTCAATGGACACACAAACACCCGTAACTATGAGTGCAAACTTTGCTCGAAAACGTTTGTATCAGCTAATACATTACGATCTCACAAACAATGGGTGCATTCTGATAAGGTATACTCTTGTTCCCAGTGTGATTATCAGACGAAAACTTCGCAAAAAATTGAATGAACATATCCGAGTCCAGCACCAGTTGCAAGGCTTCAAACCGTATAAATGCCCGTATTGCGAGTTCCGGTGCGCTACCGGAGGTAACACTAGGAAACATGTGAAACAAGTACATAAAGGTCAAGAGGTGACCTATGTAAGGGATGATGATTTATTGGCTGCAGCACGAATGGCTCGAGCCTCGGGACATTATGCCTCGTTACTCAACACTTTGTCATCGGTGCATCTAACACGTGAAGTGAGTGAAGATGAAAGATCAGAACTCTCAGAAAATATTCTCCACATAGCCTTATAGTTATATGTTTTATATACATTACAGTTACTGTTGTTTTTATTGGGAAATTGTATTCAACTTAGGTGGTTTTTAATAGGCCAGGATCTCATAGAGCGCTGAAGCAACAAGGCTTAAGGTTATAAAACTGTCTCAAATCTTATGATTTTCATTGGTCGGTGCTCTTTCTTAGCAAGTTTCAGACCAATCAAATGCCTGAGATCTGGGTTCCATTATGGTGAAATACATGAGAGACAGTTAAAAATACTAGGTAAAGATATTCTTACAATCTTTAATTGTAAACATGTTCATCTTTGTATTTTTGTGGCATTAATATTTGGAGATTATGGAGGAGTCTATGAACCTTATTGGGTGTCTGACATGTGAAGTTAGTGAAAATGAATGGTTAGAATTCTCAGATAATATTCTCCACATAGCCTTATCATTGATATGTTTTTATATACATAAATTATGTGGTTGTAAGAAAGTTTGTTGTTAGTAGATAAATATTGTGAATTTATTGGGAAAAATAATCTATGCTTATATGTTATTATATTTTTAAAATTTATACATTGATGATTTAAGTTTTCAAACCACAAGGGGGATTACCCTAGTGGTTTTTTTTACTGTATAAATGGTTAAGTTAGCGACACAGAAATATTGGCAAATTGTGCAAATTGATGAAAATCGCTTACATTTCATTTAGAGTAAATATAAACCAACTGGTCGCTAAATTCTACTTTTATTTTCTTGGAATAAATGTTAGTGACAATATTTTTTTCTTTTTAATACTTTTTCAAAATTTTCATAAAAATTAGCATGAATCTGGAGGCATGCTGCTTTAAAAGACAAGTTGATTTTTATACTGAATTATAATCAGTGTGGTTCTTGGTCTTACATTTCATTTGTTTATATATTGATATTGTTAAGGATAAGTAAAATCATGTTTTAAAATACTGTAGTGTTCAACCCATTGATGAGTGTTTCTTATGACTATCAAATAAAATAGTGTTATCACAATAGAAATTGCATATTTATCACATTTTAATTTATAGTTGAATCTCTTAATTTTACGATTAAGTGATTATCAGATTTAAGCCATGAAAAATTCAACTCTAGCACAGTTTTGATATATTTATTTTAGAAATACTTATTCATTTGTTTTTATAACATATTCTTTTGTATGATTTTTTGTCATTGTTTTTAATCAGGTAATGGCAATTTAAACTTAAATATTTGTTTTCTCTTTCTTACCAATTAGTGGTAGTTTTTATGTCAATACTATTTTTTTATTCTTTTTATTTTTTTATCAAAAAGTGGCAGTTTTAATGTTAATATAAAGAGAATGCGGAGGGTGTTATTTCAGTTCAAGGGTTGCTAATATGCACTTTATTACCCTGAGAGATATGTTAATTTTTGATTATACCAAACCAACATTTTAATGTAATTTTTACCGCTATGCATACATTTTTTTATCAAGGGAGAGAACTAGAAATACGTTTCCTTAAGTCTATATAGATTACTCTCCCCTGGGGAATATTACAAAGGTGATGTTCATTTCCAGGATGAGAGATCAAAATAACACCATGTGACGTCACATTAGGCTGTAGGGAGTTTATGTGAGGTAAAATAATATTATTTTAAAGTATGCCTACAGTCCTATTTTAAGTGTTACATCAATAAGTTAATTGTATAAATTCTGCAAACTTTGTGAAGTTCTAACATAAGTCATGTTGAGCTATAATGACTACCTGATGTAAACTGATCATAAGTGTGTCAATCAAATGATTTCTATTCAATTTTATATACTAGTATTTAAAAATTTAAGTGTTGACAATACTTTTTGCGTTGTCTTGTCATAAACTAGCTAGATCTGTATAATGAAAGTTAGAAAAGTTTGCTAGATTTTCTCCCCCCCCCCATCCCCCCGTCTGTGATTTACTCCAATAAATGCTGTAGTTACTTAATATTTTCATAATTTACTAACAGAAGGTGCATTTGTCTCAATTGTATTGTGTTTAATTTCATTTCATATTTCTTGTAAAAATACTTAATTATGCACCTTGTCAGATTTTTCATAAAAACTTACACCTGCTTATAAATGATTGGCTAATTTTGTCAAGTGTTTGGCTAATTATATCATGTGTTTGGTAAATTATATCATAATGGTTTTCAAATTCTTGCCAATGTATGGCTAATGACTTGTGTTTCTCTAATTCTATATGTTGAGTAAAATTCTTACTCATAGATGTTACATTCTGATTTAATTGTGGGGTATACAGTTGGCCTGCTCTAGCATGATTGAATTATTCTTTGAAATGAAAAGCTTATTAAAGCGTAATGTTTTGGTGATATCGAATTATCCCAAATGTCAATATTTTTTTAAACTGACCAATCAAATTACTCAAAATTTTAAGTTTTTTAAACTGTCATATCAAATTACTCCAAATGTCAAGTTTTTAAACTGACCAATCAAATTACTCCAAATGTCAAGTTTTTAAACTGACCAATCAAATTACTCCAAATGTCAAGTTTTTAAACTGACCAATCAAGTTACTCCAAATGTCAAGTTTTTTAAACTGACCAATCAAATTACTCCAAATGTCAAGGTTTTTTAATTGTTTTATCAAATGTATCCAAATGTCAAGTTTGTTTTTTAACTGTTGCATCAAATTACTTCAAATATAAAGTTCTTTAAACTGACCAATCAAATTACTCCAAATGTCAAGTTAACTGACCAATCAAATTACTCCATATGTCAAGTTTTTAAACTGACCAATATAGAAATAATTTTATATTTAGTAATACAATTCTTTATTCAAAACTGTTGGCTGTTTAATTTCTTGTTAATTATTGTACATATTTCTTATGCTTATTGTTTATAATAAATTTATGTTAAATATATTATGTTATATAATATATAGCTTTATATATTATGTAAGATGTTTTAAAGTTTATTTTAGCTGGATCATGTTTAAATATTGAAGTGTATCAGAACTAGCAGTTCTGCTGTGAAATTTCTTTAAGAATTTTGTCATTTTTATGCCATAATTTGCTTTTGTTATAATTCAGCATAAAATTATGGTTATGTAAAGTTTTAGTTGATGTAATAAAGTATGTTACTGTTCAGTTAGGTATAAAATGTTAAAATATATTGCCCGATATTGTTCACCATGTTGTTATTCAAAGTCAAATGAATATTGTTAATAAAATTTGTTTGGTTCTTGTTCACGTAGTTTTTATATATCTCTTATACACATTTTTACACAGTGACTAAAGGACTTAAGACTTTCTGTGAAGCCAATATTTTTTACATTGGGAGGTCAACTTACAGTTTAATGACAAGAGGTTTTAAGAGCATGTGGCTGAAGTATTTTCGTAGACAAACAGATTTCTAGTTAATTGTTTTATTAGTCTCTTAATGGTGGTACTTCTAGTTTGCCAAACTATTAGGCCTCGCATTGAAGTTAAGAAGACTTGTATCCAACCATATGCAGGGCTGCTATTGTTAGCCAATCAAGTGTTGTTGTTTACTTCATATCATCAACTATAGATGTATTACAGCACTATCAGGGATACTGGGCTAGAAAAGGTCACATTTTTCTTTTCAATGATATATGCAGTAATTGGTTTGACATTTGATATCAAAGCTGCATAATTTTCAATTCTAACACTATCGGAATTTTTTGTATATAAACAAAGAAGGCCCGAAGCGTGCATTATTCTACAACAATGCAATCGCAGTTCTTATTATCGCCCTATGTATTTTCACATTGAGGGCGCCATTTTGTTTGAAAAATGTGATAAATAAAAACAATTTTTTGTTGAATTTTGTTGTGAAAACTATCAGGAATGAAAGAAAATGGTCTAACTAAGAAAATGAATCCGAACACCAATATCTTTAATTCAGTCGTTAACGCTGTACAGACGTTCAAAGTGTTGTTTACGCGACGTCACAATGTAGCGCCAAATAGCACGTGCAAAACAATCATAATCAAGTACACTATTTAAATGTCGCAAACGAGTTAAGTTTTACATTTATTACACTTTTAATAATTTGTATTTTGCTTGGAAAATAATAGACGGAAATAAAATAAACAAAGTTTTATCAACGTTTTCAAAATTCGTTATTCTCAAAATGTTTCTACACATGGTAGATTTAACGACAGGTTTTTTCAACCCACTGGAACAGCCTTTTAAGAACGTTTCTATTGGAAACTCTGAGGCGAAACCAAACATAGAGTCCAACTTTATAATTATATTTTTTCTTGATGTGTTAGAATGGAAATAGATATTAATTCTTCGTGCATTATTGTATAATAACGCACGTTTTTCCTTCAAATGCTTTGTAATTAATCACTCAGGCCTATGGGCCTTCGTGATTATATTACCACACATTTGAACTCAAACCGTGCATTATTCTACAATGCACTCAGAATTGATATCTATTTCCTAAATAATACATTAATGCAAAATGGGCATTGCACTTTTGTTGAAGATTTTTAGGAAATTTTCACTGTACAAGTCTATGTAAATTAAGTGACTCCAATTAAGATTGGGGCCGGTTTTTTTTACTCCCAGTATAATAAAGTCTATTATTAACTCCTGTGACCTACTTTTGCATTAGGTTGGCACCATTTATTTTCATTTTGTAGAGGCTCACCTAAGTATCATTCCTGTGAAGTTTGGTCAAAATCCATCATGGTTTAGGAAGGAGATGATTTTTATGGAAGTTGTGGACAACAGAAGACTTCCAACTACAGACCAACTGCTATCACAAAAGCTCATTTATTAGCACCAATTGCTCAGGTGAGCTAAAAATAAACAACAATTATAGTTCAACTTCTATATTTATTAAAATTCACTAACAAAATAGAAAAAAATACTGACATGAGAGTTATATAATTTTAATAATTGTTCATGAAAAAAGGAACAATTTTTTCATGTGGAGAAAAAAAATCAAAAGATGCGTGTATTTCTACTAAACAACTAAAAGAAAATTTAATGCATGAATGTATATGTGCAAGTTGTGTAAATTTATAACAATTTATCTAAAGACTGTGAGACTATAACCCACAGAGGCAGACATCTTAACCAGTTGGTCGATAGTATATGCTTTATGAGGGTCCACCTGCCCTTTCAGTTACCAAGAGTACGTACACCAGACATGTCACCAGTCATGATCTTGATACCTTTACCATAAGTTCACCGTTCTCCTTTATTGCAGCAATGTTGCCTTTATCTAGTGTTTAGTCAGTATAATTAATGTAAATAGATGAAATATTGCATTACATACATGTAAAAATCTTTGCACATACAAAACATGAAAAAATTTAACAAGTTTTATTCTGCTGTTTGTATGTGTGTATCATAAATGAATAAGACAGCCGAATCAAAATGAAATTTGCAACCACCTTATCCTTCAAAAAACAAACTACTTCTATTAATTTCAATAAACAAGAAATGTATTGAAAAGCACATCAAAGTACTCTAACTGCTTGGCAAATGTGACTTTGTTTCAATTTTTTTTCTTTTCTTTTTTTTTTTTACTTTATAGCTGTAGAAAAGTATTACTTTACTTTGATTTTATCCAGTTTGTCATTAATAAAGTGCTTGGCAGTTACAAATGTTCCTTGATAATGAACCAATAACTCACTTATTTACACAACATCACAAGTTATTTCCATCACATTCATCAATGATAAACAAAGAAAATAATGTAGTTGAAAATTAGTAAAAATGCTAAGATAAGCAATCATTTGACATGAAATCATAAAAAGAATTATATCAAAATATCTATTTTTCTACAACTAAAAGAACAAAAAAAATAATTGAGGAAATTTCACATTTTTTGAGTAACTTAATCAATAGAGGTGGAGAATATTCATCACTAGATTTTGTTTGTTTGTTTGATTGAGTTTTATGTCCCACTGACACATTATAGTCGTTCCAGCTTTACTGGTGGAGGAAGACCTCAGGTGCCTTCCTCTAGATTTTGTAAAACCAATGAGAAACTCAGAATTTTACAACACTGTTTTTTTTTAAATCTCCCAGGCAATTAATGTCTCAAGATGTTTTGTACGTTTCTCGTCTTTTTGAATATGACATTTATGATAATTCATAATAACCATCAACTATTAAACAGACTTTCTGTTTTATATTACATACTTGAAAAGTAACATAAATTTTTGAAGGCTTCTTTCTATACATGTACATTGTATATAACTATTGTAAGTCAAGAGATCAACTATAAAAATCTTTTACAAGTTCCAACGATCAAAATGGCAGTTATCACCCCTTCTTTATAATTCATCAAGCTGAAAAAGAATACAACAAAAAGGAATTAATGACCAACTTTCAATACTTTAAGTTCAAGAAGTCAAAAGGAAATAAGATATCAATCTGCATGCCTCATATATTTATCTATAGAGTTCCAGGTAATTTTTGGGCACACGTTTTTACAAAATATATTATGTTACAAACAAATTTATGTATACAATAGGTAAAGGTTGTCTTAATTACTGTAATGCTTTTCATCAGCTAATATTGTATTAAAATCGATCATTTCCGGAACCTTATTTTTTACAATTTTCGTTATTCAATAATTTTTAAACCCTTTATAACCAGAATTTAGTACAGAATGATAAAGGATGTGTGAATGGAAATAATCTAAAGCCCAAGATTTTGAAAAAATAACGTTCCAGAAATAACCGATTTGCTACAAAATTGGCCGATATTATAATTTTTGGCTGGAAAGCTTTACGGTGGAGGAAGCCCTCAGTTGGCAATCTGTGTATTATTTCATGCATGAACAGGAACTCAAAGTAATACCACTGACCTTCCGTAAGCTAGCTGGATAATCTTCCTCATATGCTTAAACTGTTTGAGTTAGGGTAAGTCTTCCTTAATTACAAAACCAACAAAACCAGAATGAACTGGCCTATGTACAGCACTCATTCTTATACACTACGAGTGTATATAATAGAGCTGTCATTGATTCAGTGCAAAGCATATCAACGATATATCGATATCAGATGTCTAAAATCAACTATACACCGATATATCGATAATAACCTATAATTACTTGTCTGTCATTCACTTTCATACCTCTTTAAATGAATTCAGTTAAAAACATGTTCTGTACAGTGTATTGTCCACTGCATATTTTTTCCAGACAATATTTTTTGTCACCATTGCTATGAAATATTTTCACTATATAACAAAAGCATAACATTAGACATAAATAAATGTTCTGTATATGTTTTGGGTGATTTTCTTATAATTTCTAGACATTTAATTAATTAGTCAAAAGTATCGATTTTTTGAAATGTGTATCGATTATTGATTGGCAAAAAAATATCAACGATACATCGATATTGTCACTATCGATGACAGCTCTAGTATATAATGAAATCACCAAGCAGAAACAAACTGACAAAGTTTTACTAACCAGGTCTTCAGCAGAGTCATCTTCCATTGGTTGTTCTGGTTTCTGGGACTCCTCCCCCTCATTAAACTTTTTAACATCATCTTCAGATGCACCGTCCTCACATTCCATCTTGGAGATCAAACCCTGCTTGTCTTTATATAAAGAAACAAGTTAATATCTCAATAAATCAATTACTGTAGAACTTTGGTAAAGTGGAAGTTGAAGGGATTTTCGTAAAAACTTCAGACACAGTAAGACTTTGACTCAAGAATCCCTTGCAATTTAATGAAAAATTTTATAAGCTAATTTTAAAAGGTGTTACAAAAGGAATTAAACCGGCTTATAGTAAATATATCCATTGATTATCACAGACCACGAAAAAAACAACTTTGATACAAGTAACATCGAAAACTTTGACACATAAAATATAGGTTTTTATAAAGAATATACGGAGGAAGAAATCAGGGCTTTTATTTTACTTGACACACCAATAAAATCGACTAATCAATTTTTGACTTACTGAAGTTCTACTGTATAATTATGCTTCAAGATATAAACAGACTCTTTTAATTATACAAACTAAGTTCCATCATATATTCCAGTGTCTAAATGTATTTATAAAGGACCATCAGGGACAATTTAATTCAGGTTGGATTGTTTTAAATAATTTAATCCCCATCCCTATCACCCCCACCCACAACAAAAAAGGCAACTTGTCAAAATGATATGACATCAGATCGAACAAATAATATAGTGTGTCATAATTATAAACATTCAGTATTGGGTGAACATATGACAAAAACAAAACAACTGATGTATTATTTACATTGCAGGAATACTTCAAACAAAACAACAGTGAAAGTAATTAGTATAGCCTAATTCATTCACAATTCAAATAAAACTTAATTTTTGCTACTAATTATCCAACAGAATCTAACATAACATATCCATTGCTCAAATGATTTTAATCCTCTTAACAGTTTTTTTGAAGTCACATTGACATTGTCAAGGTCATATGGAGACTAGCTAGAGTAACAGGTGATGGTTACATCATCAGTTATTCCCCTTTGGCATTATTTCAGGTACAAACGGGCATCCATGTAGAACCTACATAAAACCTAGATTCCTCAGATGAATTTATTTCAAACTATGTAAGTTAACAGTAATGAAATACATGACAAATCTTTTACCTGCACATAATTTGTCAAGGAAATCCCTTCTTGCCTTTGATATAAGCGTCTCTTTGAACTCTTTTATAAATGTATTGTAAGATTTTGCCTCTAATTTCTGTAAAATATAATACCATTATTTCCTCTCAGTTTTAATCATATATCAGCTATAAGGTTTGCTATCTTCACACAAACTCACTGTATGAGAAATTACAATGAAAGTTCAAAAATAAACACTATGTAAATATGACTAATAATTAACACTATGTACATAAGACCAAGTCATTTTTAGAGATACCATCGATAGAAATGATATTGATGTACCATTGATATTTTTCTGTTGATTAATAATTGATACACATTTTAGAAAATCAATAATTTTGACTTACTAATTGAATGCCTAGAAATTATGAAAAATTCACCCAAAACATATACCAGTATACAAAAGCATACTTTATAGCTGTGATGACAAAATCTGGTCAAAACTCATGCAATAGGCATTATTGCATTTATAAACAAGACAGATGTACATAAAGCATTTTAAGAGTATGAACAAGAGCTGGTATAACTCATTAAATGCTCATGCCGGCATAAATAAATTTATAATTTGTAAATTTCAGTCAAATTTATAGAAATTTTGTCAACAATTTGTTTTCCAAAAATTCAAAGAATTTACATCTTTTACTAACTTTAACCTATACATTTAAGGGATACTCAGGCAAAATAATGACAATAAATATTAAAATGATCTTTTGAAATCAAATCACGCTAAAATGACATTTCTTAAAGTCCCAGAATGAATGTCTGTATAAATTCTATATATTTTGAGTTTGAAGCTTAAATAAATCTATATATGTTGAACGGAATTTAAACACCAACAAAATCACCAAATAGTTTTAAAACAAGTCAAGTGACTTGAACAGACCCTTGAGTTAAATAACAGATATTGTATGATTGAAAAAAGTCTAAGTCATTCATTTGACAGGTTCTTTAACGTTTCCAGACTTCACTATTACAACTATTGTGAAATCTTAGCGCTCTAACCTGACCCACACGAGCCACGTTAGGAAACCATCATTTTATTCTTTATATGGAGAAAAGTTTTGTTCCTTTGACAGTCTTGTGTATTCATTTTGAGGCCATTTACGGAATAATGAATGAAAATATCAAAACTAAGAAATGAAAATTTTGCCTCTGTCTCCCTTTAAAGTTTAACAGGGCTGCATGAGTGTACTCACTTTTATACATTGTTCCCTAAGACATTTAAGACAGTCCATGGCTTTCTCATAGAACTGGTCACCAAAACTGTCCAGTACTATCTGTTGTATTCTTTTCTGCATCTGACCACAAGCTAAAAACATGTTTAAAAAAAACACCCTCTTATATCTTATAATTTTTTATTACACCTAGGTATAACTGATCTTTCTTTTACACAAGTTCATACAATAGATATATGACTTCTTAATGAAGATAGGATAGAACCGAAACCTTTTAGAGAATAAATAACCTCAACCTGACGTATTATACTTCTTCCGTTTCCTCATATTATGAAATATATTACAGTAGAACTTCTATGAGTCAAACTTCGATTAGTCGATTTTCTACATGTGTCGAATTAAAACGAAAGTCCCGAATTTTTCGCCTATATATTCTTTATAAAAACCTATTTATGAGTCGAATTTTATGTGTTGAATTTTTCCATGTGTCAAAGTTTTTTCATGGTACGTATAGAATAAATCGAGTACAAGTTACCACATATAAGTCGAAGTCCTTTGATTTTTTTGACACCTTTGATCTCAAGATATTTTTCACACCTTATCTGGCCGCGAAGATGATTTCCAATCAACTTTGGTGACAGGTGTTAATTACACAGCTGTGTCTTTACACCGCCTTTGTATGCGTTTAAATGTGTGATAAATTGTTACCATTCAAATTGATGTCGTGGTTATTGAAAGTAAACAATAAGTACTACATGTACTTCATGTACTTTCATTTGAGGACATCCGTAACCCGGTGTCGCGTGATAATCACACGCCAAATATTTACTTAAAGCTGGTTAAGTTATCGCCCTTTTCTATTGTTACGCCTTTTGTAACTTCCTTGTTTACGTCAACGGGTCGAAATTTTGTTATGAAATCGAGACCGATTCATGAGTCGAAGTCCCGATGTGTCGAACTTTTTACACATGTCCCTTCAACTTCGACTTACCGAAGTTCTACTGTAATTATATTCATGTATTACTTGTATGAAATGACCTAGAGTTATATTGGAAGTAGAAGAACTAAAATGTTCAGAATTTTTGGAAAGATAAACTTTTTTTCGTTATTAAGTCAATTCAAGCCTGTTCAAGTCATATGGCCAATACACAACATTACCCTTGCTGAATATCTCTCTTGTGGCAAGCAAACAATTTTTAAGGGTTGTCACTGGGATTTCGTTACTGCTTACAATGTATATTAAAAAGTTTACCTTCTTCAAATTTATCCTCATCTTTCCTATTTACAATAGCAACAAAGTCATCCACAGGTGTTGTTGATCCAACCTTTATAAAAAAAAATAAATAAACCTGTCTCTTCATTTTTCCTAAGAGGTTTTTAACTCATAATTCAAAAATATTTATCATTCTACCTAACCCCATACAATAAAACTTAAAACATTTCATAGTGAAAAGGCTAAAAGCAATTCAGTGCTTAAACATCTAGGTATAAGACATGTCCATGTAATTGTTTCTGACCAGACATTATTTGTTGCTACAATTTAAATACATTGATAAAGATATCATTTTTAAAACAGGACAAATCCATAACACACACATTCGTCTGCATGTTATTTGATTTTTGTTAATCTGCAGTTTTTATTTTCATCTGACGCAAGAGTTATAAAAACAACAGGGGATTTTTTTAATCTACAGACTGAAAATATAACCAATTTTAACAGCATTTAAACTGATGATATTGTTGGCCCATCTGTTTATAATGAAAATCCTGAGTGTGGCTTTAAATATACCTCAGTAACTTTAGATTTAGCTATATCCATGATGCCACCATCGAGGTTATCATCGACCTTGACTTTCTTAGCTGCAGGACCATCTTCTTCACCACTGTAACACATACAAGTTAATGTTAGCATTGATTTTGTCATAATTCAGTAAAACTTTCATATAACAAGTCATAACACACCTTTCATTATTATAATATAATGCTTGATTTGATACTTGAAACAGCTTACATTGTTTGTAACAGTAATACAAGCAGAATAGTAGAGCTGTAATCGATTCTGTGTAAAGCACATAATTTCTATCTATGGTAGCTCTACAGGGAAGTTAAGAATGCGACTTATATTACATACCGTGTATAAGTTGATATTTCCACATGTCAAAGTTTGCTAATTTAAAATTCCAGACATTTCATATGAGGAAATATTATCAAATTAGTGACAGGTTGGTTGCTATTTATCATAGAGGAATCTTAGAGACTTTTGTCAATTTTGCGAAATTCCCAAATTTTTCCACATTGCAAACTTAACCACTTAAACAATATGTTACATATATTATTATGTTAGTAAACTTATATTAACCCTTCACCTGCTGATGGCAATGGATTCTAATTATGCAACTAGTACAGACCAAGAATGCTAGATCAGCCGGCACACCTGTGGCAGCTGAACATAATTTGCAACGTTTCCTATTTGCTCAGTACAAATATGAGATTTTCTTTAAAATGATAAAAACAGTTTTTCCTAGACTGAAAGATGGGAGTCCAATTAAGATACTTACATGTAGCAAAGGAAGTGTTTAAGTAATATGATGTACCTTATTTGACAATAACAAAATACACTTTATGTCATAAAACTAATTCAACTTGCGTATGTTACAGTAACAAATGCACACTTTAAATTGTTATAATGTGTCACAAGGGAGATAAATGAGTGAATGGATAAAAAGTGAATTTTATAAGGACTGTATACATTACATGTATTTTTACAGTCCCCCATTTAGCATTAATTGTCACAGGGTGTGAAAATGACAGACAATTAAATTAACAGGGTGAAAAAACTGTCTTTCTTGTTGTATTCAGTTTTGTTCTGACATGCAAAGGATTAAACTGGAGATCAATAGTTTGACAAAGAAGGCAAAAAAAAACCCAACAAGTACACATACTTTTCCTGAAACATTTTTTCTCCGGTTTTCTCTTCTTTTTTCTTTACAACCTCAAGTTTGAATTTTTCCTTTAGTTTATCCATACTTTGTGAACAGTTCGTGACAACTTCCTCTGGTGGTTTAAGATAATTGGCTATAAGGGGAGACAACTCAGGCAGTGCATCGTCTGGATTTAATGCCCTGTGCTGTAAACACTGAAAGTGAAAGGCAACTGTTGAGAAATACAGCTTTAGATATCACTCAGTTATGTTAAAGGACCATTATTGTGATCAATATGTTAAATATAATATGATGAGGGACCATATTGTGATCATTATGTTGAATACAGGATGTTACGGGACCACATTGTGTTCAATATATTATGTCAAAAGGCCATATTGTGTTTATTTTGCTGAAGATATTATGTTCAGGGACCATACTGTGATCATTATGTTGAATATATTAAGATGACGGACCATATTGTGATCATTCTGGTAAATATATAATGTTGTGTTCATTTTGTAGAATATATCAAGCAGTTTCTTAGAGCAGCACGCCTCCAGATTCATGCTAATTTTCATGAAACTTTTGAAAATGTATTAAAAAGTAAAAGTTTTGTCAAATGAACAAAGAAATTAAAGTTCACATTGCAAAAAAAAAAAGGTCAAAATATGCATAAATAGCCCTTACGCAGTAGAAATATGATAAAACATACTGCAAAATCGGTCATAAATCGCACATAACATGGAAATTATTACTTTTATTTTGAACCTTTTTACTTTTCTTAAAATCTCAGTACCTTATTCTCAAGTTTGATTTTCTTGAAATATTTTGGTTAATCTGGAGGCATGCAGCTTTAAAACGTGATCTTAAAAGTCATATTGTGGTCGCATTAACATTGTTAACTTGGACATCTGGCATATGAACTGACTATTTTAATTAAACAGAAACTCAGTTACTGTCAGTGCAAGGAGACTTTCAAAACTAGCATGGTATGACTTCTAGAAGGATAAAAGGGAGTTGGGGGGAAGGGGGGGGGGGGTATCACTCGTGTAAAGTAATGTTGAAACTTCACCAGCAGTTTGACCTATGAAGACGGACAAGATTTTCTTTTTATAGCTCTGGCATCCATTTTATGCAGCAAAGCGAAACATGCCGGCAATATGCACAACTAGGGATGGTACTGATCACTGTGATTAAGTTTCATTGAAATCTCACCAGCAGTTTGACCTGTGAAAACAGGAGAAGATTTTTCTATTTATAGCTCTGTTGGCCATTTGTGCAACAAAGAGAAACACACTAGCTATATGCACAACTATGGCTGGTACTGATTGGTTTGGCTAAAATCCCTACCAGGAATTTGACCTGTGAAAGCCGGACAAGCTGTATGCAGATGGACAGGCAGAGAGATTTTTGGAAGACGTAATTATAAGCTTTAAGTCATAATTATAATGTATGCTGAAATAATGAAATTTACCGAATCTAACTGACCCTTTCACCATTTAAGCAATACCTCATATTTTAGCAAAAAAAGTATACAGTACCTGATATAATCTCTGGAAGTGAGGGTTAAATATCAACTTTGGCTTTAAAACTTCACAGGGTTTATCATCTTCATCTCTGAAACAATTAAATAATGTCCCTATCTATACAATAATTAAATAATGTCCCTATCTATACAATAATTAAATAATGTCTTTATCAATACAATATTTAAATAATGTCCTTATCAATACAATAATCATAGAACACAATCATGGACTATCAACATTGCATATTTTAACACACTCCACTGAGGTTTTTTTATCATTTTGGGACAGAAAATATTTTTTTGCAATAAATGTGATACAGGTATAGACTAATTACTTGGGTGCAAAATGTCAGATTATTCGCTCACACTGTTGTTCCAGAATAATTATTTGAAAAATTGAAAAGCCTTGCAACAGTTTTCACTCAAAACGGGCTAATATAGCATAAAAATACAATTTTCAATTTATTTCTGAATATGTTTCTAAATCATCTTTTGTATTTTGTCTGTTTTAATGTTTTTAGGCTTTTGGACCTCTGTGGAGTTCCTTTATGGAAAAAAAATCTATTTATACAACGTGCCTTTTAGAACAGGTAAGACTACATTTTTAATTTAAGAATAAATCATTTTTTTATAATTTCCTATTTCTATATTTTTTAGTTTTCTTTCTTTTTTTAATTTGTAAGTTTAGCCAAAACTGAGTCTGTTATGTACATAGTCACTTTAGAGCAATAACTGCTTAACTTCTATTAAATTTAGAAGGACTTAACCTGTTACTGCACTAAGGTGATGATAAATCATTATGGTGTTTTTACGGCTTAACTGCAACAGGAAGACTTCAGATGCACATTTAGATTTATTGCATTCTTTTCAATGTCTATTCAAGGAGGGGGGATGGGGGGAACTTACTCATATTTTTGAGAAATCCCCCCTATTTATTCAGAGGCAGGGGAAAAAATTTACATAAAGAAAGAAGGAAAAAGATCAACACATGTAATAAATTCTCCCTTTTCGATAAAAATCCCCAGTTTGTTGAATCCTAGAATAGAGACTGCTTTTTCGGATCAGTTTTAAGACTAAATGCTTTATTATTTTCATCACTTAACATTACTTAACAACTTCATCATCTGTTAAACTAAGGATGTATATAAGAGAAAATATCACTCACCGCCCTGCTGTACTTAAATCCATACTTGTTATTAAATCATCAACAGCTTTACACTGGTCCTCTACAAAAAAAATCATTTGGTATAACAATCATAGTTTGAATAATTAATTAAAGCCGAATTAACAACTTGAATCACATAAATAGCAAAGTATTCCACTAGTTTCAAAATACAGCTGAACTCAAAACAAGAGAGCCATAATGGCCCATTATTGCTCTTCATGATATGGAAGTGCTCTGGTAAGCTAAAAACTAAAGAGTACAATTACATTCTCAAAAGTTTCTATTTTGTATGAAATCCAATTTACTTGAAAGGTTTGATTTTTTTAATTATATTACAATAACCTATTCATATAATGGTTTGGCATTCAATTGACAGATATTCCTATAATTCAATACCGTAATAAAGCTGAACAAAACTAAAAATAATGAGGACAAAAATTAGCTCAAAACAAGATATGTTTGTAAAACATGTATGCCCCCTATCAGCAGCCAATTAGTCATGTGATAAGGTTATTATGCATGACTTCTGACCCAGTGATCAAACAATTAATAAGGGTTATCAAGTATCTACTGGTCATGACCTTAACCTTTGACCCCTTGACCCAAAACTCAATAGGGGTCATCTGCTGGTCACGACCAATCATCATACAAAGTTTGAAGTTCCTAGGCCTAAGCGTTTTTAGTTAATTGATCGGAAACTGTTTTAACATACAAGGTCAATGTGACCTTGACCTTTGACCCCTTGACCCCAAAATCAATAGGTCATCTGCTGGTCATGACCAATCACCATACCATGTTTGAAGTTCCTAGGCCAAAGGGTTCTTAAGTTATTGAATTGAAAGCATTTTTACCTACAAGGTCAATGTGACCTTGCCCTTTGACCCCTTAACCCCAATATCAATAAGGGTCATCTACTGGTCATGACCAATCATCATACCAAGTTTGAAGTTCCTAGGCCTAAGGGTTCTTTAGTTATTGATCGGAAACCGTTTTTACCTAAGAGGTCAATGTGACCTTGACCTTTGACCCCAAAATCAATAGGGGTCATCTACTGATCATGACCAATCACCATATCAAGTTTGAAGTCCCTAGGCCTAAGGGTTCTTTCGTTATTGATCGGAAACCGTTTTTTACCTACAAAGTCAATGTGACCTTGACCTTTGACCCCTTAACCCAAAATCAATAGGGGTCATCTGCTGGTCATGACCAATCACCATACCAAGTTTGAAGTTCCTAGGCCTAAGGGTTCTTTCGTTATTGATCGGAAATCGTTTTTACCTACAAGGTCAATGTGACCTTGACCTTTGACCCCTTAACCCCAAAATCAATAGGGGTCATCTGCTGGTCATGACCAATTACCATACAAGTTTGAAGTTCCTAGGCCTAAGGGTTCTTTGTTATTGATCAGAAACCGTTTTTACCCAAGAGGTCAATGTGACCTTGACCTTTGACCCCTTGACCCTAAAATCAATAGGGGTCATCTACTGATCATGACCAATCACCATACCAAGTTTGAAGTTCCTAGGCCTTAAAGTTCTTTAGTTATTGATCGGAAACCGTTATTGCTTACAAGGTCAATGTGACCTTGACCTTTGACCCCTTGACCCCAAAATCAAAAGGGGTCATCTACTGATCATGACCAATCACCATACTAAGTTTGAAGTTCCTAGGCCTTAAAGTTCTTTAGTTATTGATCGGAAACCGTTTTTGCTTACAAGGTCAATGTGACCTTGACCTTTGACCCCTTGACCCCAAAATCAATAGGGATCATCTTCTGATCATGACCAATCACCATATCAAGTTTGAAGTTCCTAGGCCTTAAGGTTCTTTAGTTATTGATCGGAAACCGTTTTTGCTTACAAGGTCAATGTGACCTTTGACCCCTTGACCCCAAAATCAATAGGGGTCATCTACTGGTCATAACCAATCACCATACCAAGTTTGAAGTTCCTAGGCCTTAAGGTTCTTTTGTTATTGATCAGAAACCGTTTTTACCCAAGAGGTCAATGTGACCTTGACCTTTGACCCCTTGACCCCAAAATCAATAGGGGTCATCTACTGGTCATGACCAATCACCATACCAAGTTTGAAGTTCCTAGGCCTAAGGGTTCTTTAGTTATCACTCGGAAACCATTTGGTCTACGGACCGACGGACCGACAAGTGCAAAGCAATATACCCCCTTTTCTTCGAAATGGGGGCATAATTATCTTTTATATCAGATGATATTCAGCTTATGGTCAAAGGTTTTGTATTTACCGGAAATTAGTAATAAATTTTAAAATAGATGTAAACGGTCTACATTTTCATTTTATGCAGTTTATATACAGGTTTAACTTGCAAGAACTACATTAGAGCAAAAATGCCAAGTGCCACAGTTAGTGATAAAACAGCATTCTTATAATCAACAAATATAGATCATCTTGCCCTGCTTTATTTTATTAGAATCCACCGATACATCTGAAGCCTATTTCATGAAAATCAGAAATTAAAGATGGTCAGCTCCAATGTGACCTCTGACTAATAAATTTCACATATCAATAAATACCTGAAGGTTTGTATTTTTTATTTGTTGGATTTTCTTCTTTCACTGGTAGAGATCCAAATGTAAACTGTCGAACATCTTCCATAAAGGGCAGCTCAAACCAATATAAACACTGAAATTATAACAACTCTATGAATGACAGTGACCATGAAATAATAACAACTCTATGAATGACAGTGACCATGAAATAATAACAACTCTATGAATGACAGTGACCATGAAATAATAACAACTCTATGAATGACAGTGACCATGAAATAATAACAACTCTATGAATGATAGTGACCATGAAATAATAACAACTCTATGAATGACAGTGACCATGAAATAACAACTCTATGAATGACAGTGACCATGAAATAATAACAACTCTATGAATGACAGTGACCATGAAATAATAACAACTCTATGAATGACAGTGACCATGAAATAATAACAACTCTATGAATGACAGTGACCATGAAATAATAACAACTCTATGAATGATAGTGACCATGAAATAATAACAACTCTATGAATGACAGTGACCATGAAATAATAACAACTCTATGAATGATAGTGACCATGAAATAATAACAACTCTATGAATGACAGTGACCATGAAATAATAACAACTCTATGAATGATAGTGACCATAATAACATATCCATAAACAACAATGTAACACATGAATCACTTAGTTCTTTTATTCACATATAACACTGCAATGGACTTAAGGTACTTTTTTAACTCTTACTGTTGAAGGTTTCCTAAATTTACTGCAAACCAGTCAGCTCAAACAATATGTATATGATAATACCTAAATCACCCAATGTAACAAGAATTGTTCATAATACAGCACACTCGACTATTCTCATTGCATGAAGTTTCAACACCAACTTGCATGCAAACATTATGCGCTTTCTACTACCTATGCTATGCCATGTTTGTGCTATTTTGTATTTCACAAGAGGAAAAAAAATTATGGACAACAGTTACATCAAATGAATTATAACATATTAACAAGATTTGCTTGGACTCTTCAACAAGCAAATAGTGACAGATCACATACATCCATTGCATTTATAATTACTCGGCTTAATAAGCTTGGATTATTTCTATTTTGTTCACAATCAAACATTGTATAATACGTACCTCGTATTCTGCTTTTATATGTGGAATTAGACAACCCACTCTAGGACTAGAAGCTGCATTATACACTCTCCTCGCTATGGCAACCATGTTAGTCTCGTACAAGGCATTTATAACAGCTGATAATGCTACAGCAGCTGCCTGTTGTCATAGAAACATTTATCGTTGATATATATACCATAATACAGAGTTCCAGATAATTTTTTTACACTGGGGGTAATTACCCCCACTTTTCAGAATGTGGGGGTAAATTTGAATATATCGTAAATCTAAAGGGTACAATTAAATGACTTACTTTTTTGTACAAAAATAATATGATCCTTTGAAAATAAAATATTTTTTAATGAAAATACATTAAAGATATTTATTTTGTATTAATTTAGCAGATATTCAGCGTGAATTCACTTCAATTGAAAGGCCTTTACCATATTCTTATTTTATTTTATATTGTTTACAACAAAAATTGGTGACAATACATAAACAGTAACATTACAAATAATCATCAATCAATTGCCGATTTCTGCATGTTAATTGCACCTTCATTAGCCCATACATGTTTATGTGTTTATGTGTACTTAATATGTTTTAGTTTAAACGAAATTTATTTCATTTTGTTTGTGTACAATGTACTTGTCTTATTATATTGAAAAATGTGTCTTGACTATTGAAAATTGTCATTAATTTTAACTTCTTTATAACTCATTTATTATTATGTAAGTTAGTGTAATAATTTTACAGAAAATGGACCCCATTGGAAATAAGCTTTTAGCTTAATGGGCAATCCTAGGGTTACATAGAACATACTTATTAATTAATCTTATAATTATTTCTGTGCATTTATTTGTGTGTTTTTATATATATGCAAGTTGATTTCTGTGATAAAATTGTATGTGTATAATTATGTCTATTCCCTGAATAAATCGATACGATACATTGCCAGCTTTAAATTTATGACAAGTCAGATATTTCATTCGTACTTCAGTACCAGTTGTGTGTTGCGATTCACAATTATGTGCGCCCTTTCCGTTTTAAATACACAATCTAAAATGTCTTCAACAATAGGATTCACAATTGTTTTAGTGTGTAACTGAGTTGCGTTAAAAAATTGTCAATTTTTGGAAGCAGCCATGATTTACGTCTTTATTAACAAACGCTTGCAATTATAAATGGAAATCAAGCCACACGTTTTACCAAGCGTCTACGCGATTAAGACATAATTTGACTGGTTTATAGAATGAAAAGTAGTTGGAAGTATTTTGGCGGGTATTAAACGGAAAAAGATACACAGTCAACTGTTAAACGGAAATGGAATCAGCTGTTTCGAAAATGAAAGTACACACCAAATACGCTTCGATTTTTCATTCTTTGCGTATTTAATTTATAGCGTGTGTAAATGAACGCAACAAATTTGAAATATGGTGCGTATTTAGCTGCTTTTGAAGCGTAAAATACGCCGATACGCACGTTATCTGGAACTCTGATAATAGCATGAAAATATTATATATATTTATAGCATATAATAACTTAAATTCACTTTAATATTTTGTCAAGCAAATAAATAAGTTATGTTAAACTATACTTTTAAAAGTATCCAATTTATTCAAAAGATATATAAGGCGTGACCTCTGCAGACACTGATATCCTTTTCAAGATATTAAACAGCATGTTTATCTGTAAATAGTAACACATTACCTCATAGAATGTTTATAAATACCTCATAGAATGTTTATAAATAGTAACACATTACCTAACAGAATGTTGAACTATGAATAGTAACAATATTTATGTAGAGGTCGCTCAACCTGTATATAGGCCCCCCCCCAACCCAACGTTGCAGGGCAATTTAACCCGAGGGCTTTTATTTGCACAAACTTGGTAGACACCCATAAGAAGATGTTTCATGCTAAACATCTAAGCTCTAGCTCATTGGGCTTTTTAAAAGAAGATTTTTTTTAAGTTTTTACTATACACATATAGTTAAAAACAATGACACCCCTGGGGCCGGGCCAGGGCTTTTATTTGAACAAACTTTGTAGACACTTACTAGAAGATGTTTCATGCTTAATATCTAAACTCTAGCTATTTGGGTTTTTTTTTTTTCAAGAAGATTTTTAAGTTTTTGCTATACACATATAAGAAAATCAATGACCCCCTGGGTAGGGCCAATTTTGACCGCAGGGCTTTTATCTGAACAAATTTTGTAGACACTCACTAGAAGATGTTTCATGCTTAATATCTAAACTCTAGCTATTTTAAGTTTAAGTTTTTTCTTTCAGTTGCCATGGCAACAAGAGTTCTGCATGGAATTAAATTCTTTGAACAATTTTTAAAGGTGACCACCAAAGGAACATTCCTGTAAAGTTTGGATGAAATTGGCTTAGTGGTTTATGAGGAGATGTCATTTAAAGTAAAAGTTTATGGACGGACGACGGAGGGACGCCGGACGAAAAGCGATCACAAAAGCTAATAAATAGTAACACATTACCTCATCCCCTTTTTCTGCTACTACAGTCATAACACCATCACCCATCATCTCGTGTCTTTTTACCTAGAAATAAACCAAAAGATTCTTTTTGTGGATTTCTTTATTTTATTATTATAAACTTGTATAGGTTCAAATTTTAAAATTTAACCGGAATATCCAAGTTCAAAAGTTTGAGGAAATAAATAAAAGTGCTTTAAATTTGTGTCTCATTCTACACATGATTATCATATATATTGAAACAGCATCTACAGTGTCTATTCTAGGATTCGAAAAACAGGGGGGATTTTTATCGAAAAGTGAGAATTTATTACATTTGTTGATCTTTTTCCTTCTTTGTCTATGTAAAATTTTCCCCGTCCTCTCAAAAAATAGGGGTGAATTCTCAAAAATAGGGGTGAATCCCCCCATCGACCCTCCTAGAATAGACACTGGCATCTACCTTTACCTAACTTTTTTTTGGGGGGGGGGTTAAGTTTTACGTTGCACCAACACAGTATAGATCATATAGAGGCTTTCCAGATTTATTGGTAGAGGAAGAGCTCAGGTGCCCTTAGTGCATTATTGCAGGCACAAACAGGCACTGTTATGTAGGCTAGCTGGATAGCTTCTTCACATAAAATTATCCAAAGACCCTGTCAGGAATCGAACCCACAGTGGGGAGGGGCAAGTGGTAAGTAAACAACCTGTACCATTTTGCCACAGACGTTCTCTTATCTTTACATTGAATATAAACAATGCCTTTCATTTCTTTTTTCACAATACAAAATTGACTACAACTGAAGTTTTTAGTTAAAAAATCTTACCAGGACATTTCATCTTAAATATATACTAAGTCTTAACAATAAAATATGTTAACTTATTATAATGCACAAAAACTACTTAAAGAAATATTTACATTTTCTGCCTTTGTAAATCCTAGAACTTTGAAACATTTCTCTGCCTTGTATTTCATGTTTAACTTATCATCATCTGTCATAGGTACCAACGTGTTTCCATAGCGATGTCCTGTAACAAAAAGCTATTTTAATGACCAGAACAAATACAAGAGGAGAGTAGCACAGGAAATAAAGTTTTCAACCGTGATGTAATATTTCCATAATAATGTCTAATAGTAACCGTGATGTAATATTTCGGCAACAATGCCTAATAGTAACCGTGATGTTATATTTCGGCAACAATGCCTAATAGTAACCGTGATGTAATATTTTTGCAATAATGTCTTAAAGTAACCGTGATGTAATATTTTTGCAATAATGTCTAATAGTAACCATGATGTAATATTTCTGCAACAATATCTAATAGTAACTGTGATGTAATATTTCTGCAATAATGTCTAATAGTAACTGTGATGTAATATTTCTGCAATAATGTCTAATAGTAACTGTGATGTAATATTTCCACAATAATGTCTAATAGTAACTGTGATGTAATATTTCTGCAATAATGTCTAATAGTAACCATGATGTAATATTTCTTCAATAATATCTAATAGTAACCGTGATGTAATATTTCCGCAACTATGTCTAATAGTAACCGTGATGTAATATTTCCACAATAATGTCTAATAGTAACCGTGATGTAAGATTTCCACAATAATGTCTAATAGTAACCGTGATGTAATATTTCCAAAATAATGTCTAATAGTAACCGTGATGTAATATTTCCACAATAATGTCTAATAGTAACTGTGATGTAATATTTCCACAATAATGTCTAATAGTAACCATGATGTAATATTTCTGCAACAATATCTAATAGTAACTGTGATGTAATATTTCTGCAATAATGTCTAATAGTAACTGTGATGTAATATTTCCGCAATAATGTCTTTTAGTAACCGTGATGTAATAATGTCTAATAGTAACCCCTTCGGGGCATATGGGTAAATATTTATCTTAAGCATGAGTGGACACTTAAGTCGAGCCACAAACCTTTCTAAATCTAGCTGGATAGAAGTATATGTTTGTGGCTAAACTCTAACAATTAAAACAAATATTACACCACCTACCTTCTACCATATCCTCTTTTTCAACTTCTGTTTCTTCTTCATCGTTCTTGTGAAAAGTTCTTAAAGTTCCAACCTCCATGTCAGTGTCCTTAGCATAAACTTTCTTCCAGGACTGCTTTAACTTGAAATCTTTCACCTTAATTTATAGGTCAAGGCTAGTCATTATTTGTAGAATTGAAACAGGATTAACAAAAATGAAATATGACAGGTGTTTTAAAGCATTCAAGTAAAACCTGGCGCATAGTTAAATGTAGATGACAATTAATGAACAAGTTACATACATGTACTCTTGTCCAAAATTGGCATGAATTTCACATTTCTCACCAATAATTGTTCAGTTAAGTGGAAATGGGTTAGTTTTTTCCAAAACTTAATTTTTGTCATAGTGGTATATTTACAAAAGTATGCATACCTTATAAAAGTGAAGTGTTACATTAATAAGACACATCATACCTGGTATTATGAATGATAAGTTTCACAAACTTCTGGTCATGACCAACCTCCGCAACAAGTTATCTCCAGTTTAACTCAAATAAGTTTAAGTGACCTTGATCTTTGACAAAGAATAAGTCAAAGCAGGGCTACAAAGATACCTGAACCTTTACTATGATGCCTTGACCATTGTAATATATCATAAACCATCGTAATATTTAATAATTTGAACTTCAGTCATATTCTCACCTTAACATAGCCATTTATAGGTATTTTAAGATCTGTTCCTATTTCTAGAGGGCATTTCCAGGCTGTTGGTCTCACTTGTCTAGACTGAAAGTAGGAGAGAGCTGGCAATGCCTCACTGCAAATATATAACATAGAAACATTCTACAAAGCTTGTAACAAGCAGGTTCTATGTTTCAATGTTTTTTTGCCCCCAATTTAAAAAATACTGAAAATAAGGAAGTTAATTACAAGATCTAGAAAACAAAACTACAAATTTCTGTCATTTAGCCTTCTTTATCAGTTCACAAAATAATAAGTGGGTTTGTTTTTAAACTGAGGAATTGTCCCTGTAACAAAATCTTTACTATACTGTAAGCACTCAAAGGGGGTGGTACATTTAACAAGCCTTTTGAGATGATTACATCAACTTTTTTTGCAGTTTATACATAAAATGTCCATATGCGTAACACTTTCCAATCACTGCCTATCTTAAAATCTAATTATTTCTTTTTCAAAAATATAGCTTGGTTATTCATATTGACTTTTTAGTTTTTTACATTTTTCATAATGCACATCTGCCTTATTGCCAATGTCAATATTTGATTTTAATTGTACAATAAATTAATAATAACTGATTGTTGGCATTACCTAAAAGAATAACACTCCCCATCAACCTCTTCTACTATATGTTTGATCAGAGCTGTGCCAGCACGCTGTTGTGGAGTTTTGGGTTTGGCTGCCCCGTTCTGTGCCCCGCCCTTATCACCATCACCATGATCTTCCTCATCATCATCATCAAAATCTGGTCCACTTTATTAAATGAATAACAAAACAATATTTAATCATACAGATGCTACTGTATAAGCACTTAAATGAGAAGAACTATCAATATATAAAAATAACTTTTTTATGCAAATTATACATTTTGTAGAGGCAGAGTAAAGGCATTTTTCCAAATGGAACACCATATCAAAAATCCTCAATTTTATTTTTGGAAATTTCACCACTTGATCATTTGTAATAAATAAATAAAGGTCAAACAAAAGTAAGCAGCATTCTGACATGGTTTCCGCTACTTACTACATATAATTATACATAAACTGATTCAATTTTAGGTAGTTTATAACAATTTTCAGTAGATTTTACTTTAGTTTTAAACATATTTTATTTCAATATTTACATATTACATTTTTTACATATATTACACGTTATATTTATATAATTGTTACATAAAATTGAAGGGAATAGAATGAAAGAAAACTTTATATAGTTCCTCTCCCTGGATTTACTTTATATGAGTAAAGAAAGGAAATCAAAATAAATTTGCTTTCATTTTTTTTTTTTACAATATAATTGAACAGTTTATTATCAGTATCAGATAAGTAGCAATTACTGTGTTTATAAATATACAATAAATACAACTGAAAAATAAACAATGCTGATATTGTCAGAATATTTTGATAGCATTTTGTTGAATGTTTTAATTAGCAAAAAATGAATTGGGAATAAACTGTAAGTAAACAATCAACACCTTAATATTTATCTAAATAAAACATTTGCATACATTAATTATTTTAAAATCAGTTTCTGTATTCATTATTTAAAAGTGACCAAAACTTATAGACAATTGATTTTTGTATTTCAGTTTGTATAGTGTATGCATTTTGTAAAACTTATGATGTTGTCAAAACTTATGTGGAATATTGAATTCGCAACACAACCGATTCACAAATGAAAAAAAACCATTTCAAAGAATGCTTGATTTAAAGTAATGACTCACATGACGTTGAGTTCAGTCTCGGAGTTTTTTTATGCTGGCAATAATATTATCAAGCTGATCATCTCCAAATTCTCCACCGAGATCTGTCATCAATATGAGCCGCTTGTTGGCAAACCCCTTCTTACCCCTGAAAATAATGACAACAGTTTTTCTTATTCAAATTGTACTACAATTAACACATTACCATGACATAATGACAACATATCTTTTTATTTTTATCGGACTATCACCAAACACAATCACCATGAAATAATGACAACATATATATTTTCATTCTTATCGGAGTACAAAACCAACACTTCACCATTAAATAAGCAAGCATTCTTTTTATTCGTAATGGGACTATCGCTAAAAGCTTCACCATAAAATAATGACAAACATTTCTTTTTATTTCTTAGTCAGACTTTAACCAACACTACACAATGAAATAATAACAACACGTTTTCTTATTCTTATGGTACTACAATTAACACTTCATTGTGAAATAATGACAACACATATTTTAAACCATATCGAACTACAACCAACACTTCACCATGAAATAACGACAACATGTCTTTTTGTTCATATCGGACTGTCGCTAAAACTTCACCATGCTCCTAGCAAAATCCAGAGTGAAAGTTCTACACATCCAGGAATAATTTACAATGACTGTTAAATTAAAAACAATATGCTGTATGCTATTTCATCACCTTAGTGCAGTAAAAAATAAAATAAGTAATTTTACTGTCATTTCGTTACATTTAACTGTACTGTGCCATTGAAAATTGTTATCTTGCATTCCCAATTGTAATACACCTTTGTGTTGATGAGTGAAACATACAACAAAATATTCTTTGTCTTTTTTTATGTACACAGTATGTTGCCAATTTTTCCCAATTTGTCTAAAACATTGTAAAAATAACCAATACTGGGAGTCCCTAAAGTTGCTGAGAAAAAAAACGTACATTCTTTTCATGCATAGCAGACTGATGTTTCCGTGAGTTTTACACATGCCGGAAATTTCATCTGGCATGGGTGGTGACAGAGGAGTTGTGGCACTGCCATACGTCATTTTAGTGCATATAATGAATGAACCGCATTATAATGACGTCATTTGAGAACAGAACTATGTGCTTAGGATGACATCATCTCCCTGTTTCTATTAAAGTTGTAAATTCATACACTATTGTAAGCTTGTTACAGCCCAATGGGCAGGGTCCCCTTGGAACGGATATTCCATTTCCAATCTGAATCACAACATATGACAGATATTATTATTCTGATACTCACTGCATGGCATTAACTAGATGGTCCATTCCTACCACTATTCCATCAAGAACTAGACATAGTTAAGGTCATATATTAAGCTTAAATTTGTTTTTTGGAAAATACTGATAATTGCTATACTGTCTCTTCTTAAATGTAAAATAAATATTTATTGACTACACGCAGAAAAGTCTACATCATGGTTCATACCAAATTCTCAAATCAAAATTCAAGGACTTTTCAAGGACTTTTCAAGGTAAAATTGTCATTTTCAAGGCATTTTTTTCCCGATTGATCTTATTTAAAATTATACTTTTACAACCATATCTGTGATATACATTTTTATTGCAATTGATCTTATTTAAAATTATACTTTTACAACCATATCTGTGATATACATTTTTATTGCAATTGATCTTATTTAAAATTATACTTTTACAACCATATCTGTGATATAAAACATGTAAATAAAACTTGTGTATTTCAATTTAAGGTTCAAATGACTAGAATTGCAAAACAGTGACTATATTAAGAAAATCAGCACAGTCAGTAGAATATATGAACACCAAAACTGTAACATATAGGTGATTGAGTAAATTCACACAACTCTATCTAGTTTTTCCTTTCTTTTTTGGATTTCTCTTCCAATTTCCTCAACTTCCAGTTTCTTTTCTTTGAAGCCCTTTCTTAGAATGTTTGATTCAGTCACAAATCAATGATTACTAGAAGTGGGTGGGGGTGGTATTGTCATGTCATGCACAGTTTCCGTTGTGGATTGGGATGGCACAATGTTATTATTTGAATCAGATCTAATGCAATTTTCAGTTTTGACATTTATAGTTCCTTCCTGTCTGACAAATGCAAGGCCACACTTCGTCAATGAAGACTTGATGTCTAGATTTTTTAGGTGCTTTGCACCCCTCGCATGCGATGTTAAGGTGATTCCGCTTTGTCAGCCATGTTTGTTTTCACAAAGTCTGTCCAAAGTGAAAGTAGGCCAAAATTCATATAACAACAAAGCTCTTATTTTAAAATGATGAACCATTTGAAAGTACACTTCCAGGTTTATATTTTAAGGACAATTATAAACAAAAATAAAAATGATAACAATAAGAATATTTACCTTGAATGTGCTACATTTCTGAAGACCAAAAACATTCTGTAGCAAAGTTTTATGCACATTTCATGAATGGCAAAATCCTTTTATAAGTCTGTTTTAGTGCCTACAAAAGCTATTTTTTGCAGCAAATACAAAAATCTTTCAAAACTTAACTCCAAATAAATCCATATCTCATGTCCTTCTAAGCACATGGCCTCCATTATTTTTTGTAAAAAAGTAGTGCAAGAAAACAATCATCATTTATAGCCTTATGAACTACAATTAAAATGAAAACACAATCAAAATTTAAAATCTAACCTTTTTTATGTGTAACAGTGAAGTGTGTCTGTTTGTCATGTACACAAGAGATAGATAAATGATGTTTATTTTCATGGTACTACTTTTTTACACATGTCATGGTGGCCATGTTTTTTCAAGGTCAGATAAACTACTTTCCTAAGGTTTATATTTTTTAAAGTTTTTTGTATTTTCTGCAAAAAGTAGCTTTTGTAGGCACTAAAACAGACTTTAAAAAGGATTTTGCCATTCATGAAATTTGCATAAAACTTTGCAACAGAATGTTTTTGGTCTTCAGAAATGTAGCACATTCAAGGTAATTTTTCTTATTGTTATCATTTTTATTTTTGTTTAAAATAGTCTTTAAAACATAGAACTGGAAGTGTCCTTGCAAATGGCTCATCATATAACAATGTGAGCTTTGTTGTTATATGAATTTAGGCCTACTTTCACTTTGGACCCACATAGTGAAAACACAAGAGCGATCAGTAATCACATGTGTCGCCTCATGATGGCCAATTTCATGTTGGGACAAATTTTGTGACAGACGGACAGACAGACGGACAGTGCACAACTAGACTAACAACTTTGTACTGATCATTCCTGTAAAGTTTGGATAAAATTGCACCAGTAGTTTATGAGGAGTAGTCCGGACAAGCTTTTGCGTATCTGGCAACACACAGAAAAAAACACCTTTTTATCAAAGGGCCATAACTCGGCCAAAAATCATTCAACCGGAAAACCCGTGCAATATGCGCAAGGACTTGAGCTACAGATCAATCCTGTAAAGTTTCATTGAAATTGCATAAGTGGTATAAGAGAAGTAGTCTGGACAAACTTTAAAAATAAAAATTTTTAAAGGGCCATAACTCAAACAAAAATCATTGAACCGGAAAATGCTGACAATATGCACAACTAGACTTGGTACTGATCATTCGTGTAAAGTTTGGATGAAATTGCACCAGTAGTTTATGAGGAGTAGTCCGGACAAGCTTTTGTGTATCTGGCAACACACAGAAAAAGAAACCTTTTTATCAAAGGGCCATAACTCGGCCAAAAATCATTCAACCGGAAAACCCGTGCAATATGCGCAAGGACTTGAGCTACAGATCAATCCTGTAAAGTTTCATTGAAATTGCATTAGTGGTATAAGAGAAGTGGTCCGGACAAACTTTAAAATTAAAAATTATTAAAGGGCCATAACTCTGACAAAAATCATTGAACCGGAAAATGCTGACAATATGCACAACTAGACTTGGTACTGATCATTCCTGTAAAGTTTGGATGAAATTGCACCAGTAGTTTATGAGGAGTAGTCGGGACAAGTTTTGTGACGGACGGACGGACAGACGGACGGACAGACAGATGGACAGACAGACGACGGAGAAGTGATCCCTATATGTCGCCACTACTCCGTAGAGGCGACACAAAAAATGGCTGACAAAGCAGAATCACCTTAATGCACTCTCTCCCATTTGCGACAAATCGATGGTTTTCATACACATGGTACATTGTGCTTTTCGTGGGTCTTGTATAACTTGTTTTACCCAACTGTATTGTTGAAGCCATTTGAGCTGAAACGTACATTTCTTAGTGTATTTTCCCATTTTTTACTTCGCAATGGAAGCTGACATTTTGTACACAATTTGCGATGACGTCATACACAAGTGCTTGTTAAAATCCGTGCCAAAACCGTAACGCTGGCTCAACACTACTAAAACAGATCCAAATGGGCGCACTCGATCGGGCTGCCTTCGTTCACATGTCCGATTTGTAGCGGAAATTTGCCTGACCTTTACAGCGACAGGTTTTATACCCTTTTGGATTTTCAAGGCATTTTACCGAAATTCAAGGGGGTTTACTGAAATTCAAGGACAATTTTAGTGTTTTTTCAAGGCAACCCTGAATTCAAGGACTTTTCAAGGTTGAAACCAAATTCAAGGACTTTTCAAGGCCCGTGCGAACCATGTACATACTACCGTATAAGTGGTTTTTTCTGCGGGCTCCAAATTCTACGTTTTTTTCCAAATTTTGGCATGTTTTTATTTCTGCGGACTTTATTTCTGCGGCACAGTCTTTGGACAAAACGTGATTTAAATTCTGCGGCTCATCTTATCAAAGTCTAATTCACATTACTGTAACTATTTTATTTGCATGTACACATCCGTAATAAAATTTTGTTTATCGTCGTCACCGCAAAACTATATTATAGTAATTACAAATAATTATATTGTTTGCTTGCACAAATATAATGTGCAACAATAGACAGCATGCATCTTTTGATAAGCGTGAAATGACGTGTGAAAAATTTACCTCGGCAGTATCTATGATTTAATAAAATAAATAGAAGTTTGTCGTAAATCAGACAACAATTAATGTATACGACGATTATTTAGCAGTATAAGGGTTAAACTGGTTTTAATGATTTAGTGGTTAACAAATCTTTTTAGGCAAACACTATGATGTTTAAATATCTTTTTCATAAATTGGCATAATTAACAATAGGTACATCCTTACAAGCACATATTACATACTTAGCCGAAAGCAATTTTATATAACTCGATCACCCGTTATAATCTGTTAGTCGTTATTACTTTAGATGAAACAGGTCATAATGTAGGACATAAATCGTTAAAAAATGAACAAGGAGAAATATTCTGCGGTATTTATTTCTGCAGTGCTGAAACTGACCGCAGAAAACGCAGAAATAAAGTCACCGCAGAAAAAACCACTTATACGGTATTTAGGGCATAGTGTTATTTAAAACAAAAATGGCAGTCTTTAAGAAAGAGCAAATGAACTTGATCAGTAAATGGGAATGCAGCTTCCAAACAATAGTTTGTGCATTCTCTTATCCAAATTAGACATATTCAGTAAAAATTCCTAGATTTCAATTCATTTCTGCTAGGGATGGCAACGAATACCAAAATCAATACTCGAGTACTCGGTCATTTTTCCGATCGAGTACTCGGTTACTCGGATGATTTCCAGTGATCACACAATACCAACACCTTCTTCTTGAAATAATATAGACTGGTCGGCGGCACCAAAAGTTTAACTTGGTCTAAATACTAGTTACCTTTATTCTTACATTCATGGTAACAATCGGCCCTTGTTGTTTTCAAAACAGTTACTTCGGCTACACAATTAAAGGTAATTAAATATCATAAGAGGCTGGATGACATAAGCGACACAGGTGCGCGTGTCAAACTATTGATCGCCTCGTTAAATTTATGATATAATTTTCGCACCTCTGCAAAGATGTTTTGATTGCATTTAACGTGTATTTATGAAGATGCACACCTCCGAATTTCTGAACTAATTGGATACACCAATCTTTCTAAATCGCAAAAAAAGAAGAAAATATTTTTTTTTTCCGAGCAATCGAATATCAATTTTGTTAACCGATATTCGGACGTTCGATCGAGTACTCGGTTAACCGGTTACTCGTTGCCATCCCTAATTTCTGCAATAAAAGTATAATTTCTACCTAAGGAAGTTTCAACTAATTCCCTTCAGTGGTTTTGGATATACCAACATGCACACAAAAACTTAACCAAAGTGTAAAGCCGACCCCAACACCTGGGTGAGTACATTTACCCTTCCTTTGTTTAGAATGGTCAATCTAAACAAACATAATATAAGGATACAATCTCCAGCAGTACTGCTTGCCTTCACGTCATTCTGTACCAACTGTAAGAAGTCAAAGTCAACTATGCCCATTGGATTAGCTATAGATATATGTTCATAACATTCTCCATTAGCCAGAGGGTTATCTGTTTCATCAGTGCCCACCAATATCAAAGCTATCTCATCTTTTGACTCTGCAAACATCTAAAACAAAATATCAAATTTATACATATGAGCAGGGTCACGACAAAACCAACATAATGCGTTTGCGACCACCATGGATCCAGACCAGCCTGCGCATCCGCTCAATCTGATCAGGATCCATGCTGTTCGCTATCAGTTTCTCTACTTGTAATAGGGTTGGTAAGCGAACAGCATGGATCATGATCAGACTGCGCAGATGCGCAGGCTGGTCTGGATCCATGTTGGTTGGAAACGCACTATGTTGGTTTTGTCGTGACGCCGCTCATATGTCTACATGACTTGTTGTTTGACTTTTACTTTAAAAATAACAAATTAATCTTATTTAAGTGTTAAAGGTTCAATGAATTTTGCTTAAGCCCGTACTAACTGGCAATTGGACAGTATCCTGTATGTACCATCCATGAACAGGCTCAATCAAACAGAGCAATTCCTTTTCTTCCCTATATTGTAGAAAAGTATGCAAAATTGGCTTATCACACAAAAATTTGTAGAGTAGGCATAAGATTTACAAATAAGAATATTTTCAAAACTTAAATTCAATAAAATAACTTTTGCAAATCATAATAATGACTGACTGGAGAAAAAAGTAACAAAAAGCATTTGTTTCAAACATCTAAAACATATACAAGATTACATGCAAGTTTTCTTCTTTTGTCTCAGTGACTACATGTGACAAAATCAACTTAAACTTTACTTTCCATGGAAAAATCTTAACAAATACTTCAATTCATTAAGATTTCACTTTCATATAAAATCAAAGAGGAAAACATTCTTTTAAGCAATTAACATGTAGCTGAGGTGGTATGGCCGAGTGGTCAACGGGTTTGATTAGTTATATAAGGATTGCTTTCTGTTTGGGTTCAAATCCTTTCGGAAGCAAGTCGTTGTTTCCTTGAGCAAGAAACTTTACACTCATTGCCAAGTGCTGGTAAGATCCAGAAACGGATATGAGAGTGTGTTTGAAAGCTTCCTACATAATCAAATTTTAAATAAATTCTGTATAAACCAAACATGTTGCTGTAATAATCCGTACAGTGTCTATACTTTAAAGTAAACAGTCGGGTCTTAAAAATTACAAATTAAAAATTATATAATGTTACATATAGATAATATTAATTTTTGAGGAGAAAAAAATTGAAGATGGAAATTATTCAGTGATAAAAAAATAACACATCTGGTAATACTCAAACCTTTCTCTGTAGAATCATTGTAATAGCATCCAAGGCTGTTTCTAGGGGTGTAGCCACACCTGGTGGGGCAGAGTTCATCGAGGGTCCCACATCAAGCACTATTGCTATTGCCTCCTGCAGATAGATAAATGAGTAATAAATAGAGCTATCACCAAAGGTGATTCGTACCCCCAGCTGCCACCTTAACTTTCCTAAAAAAATAAGCAGTCTAAAGCAATATCTAACTCTACCTAAGGCTATATTTTATGATGTTTCATCTGTGTACTTATTAAAATTAATTGCCTTGTTAAAAAAGAGAGTAATCAACCATTATCTTTGTAAAAAAAAATGTATGGATAAGCATTTTTCTATTCTTAGTAACAGTGACCTTGACCTTTAACCAGCAAGTCCAAATGCAATTCCAACCTGGTTCTTGATATATACATGTAAGCTTGCTATACACCAAGTTTGATTACAATATCCTATTTCTAACTCTAGTTCATGTCTGAAAACCATTTTTCTATTTATAGTAACAGTGACCTTGACCCCTAGGTGTCCAAAAACAATCCCAACTTGAGTTTTCATAAAAGGTTGATATATACAATATTTGATTATAATACCTAAGTCCTAACTCTAGTTATTATTTGGAAATCATTTTTCTATTTTTAGTAATAGTGACCTAGAGGGTCCAAAAGCATTCCCAACTTGGTTTTCACATACTTCTACATCATACTGCAGTGTTTATTTCCACTTTTGGTGGAAGGGGGTTGATGTCCCTTGGAGGGGGAAAATTGCAATAGGAGGGGGAATTTTATTTCTTCACAAATGAGGAGAAACCTACAATAAGTTTGCTATATATATATACAAAGTCCAGAAACCTGTTAAATTGGTTTGACCGGTAGGCTGACACCTATATACTCCCTAAACTTCTTTTGTTGGCAGGCCTTCTAGCCATGCTGGGATAAAAGTACCTTGCACAGTTTGGAGGTTTGCTTCCAGATATTGCTTAATTGGAAAAAAAATGGCTACCTTTTTGTAACTAGTCCTATTAGTGTAAGGCAATAAATGAGTACTGCAAGATAACCATAACTCAATTGAAAATAGGTCATCTTTTAAAAATATGCATGAGCAAAATGTTAAACATAACGGGGAAAGTCGCGAAGGCAAGTTATACGCGGAAAGTCCGAGCGGGGCCAAAGGCCCCGCATGGGCTGTAGCGCTCTTAGATAACATGTATGATGCGTATCAATTCAAATGAAATCAAATTTAAAGTAAATGAAAATTTCAAAAAAATATATATCCTATACCTAATGAGCTGTGAAAAAAAGTTTCCTTTTAAAAGGAAAGGCTTGCACAGTTGTGCCTTCATCCCAACCCTTTAAAATTGTGTGTTTTTTTGGTTTCAATTTATTATCACATTTTTTTTTAATTACGGTATTTGTATATCATAAAGGGTTTATTTAGTTGGGTTTTTTTTTTGGAAAACCGAATATTTTTTGTCAAAACGATTTGAAATCTATTCTCTATTGTATAAAACTAATAAAGAAAATGATCAATCGTAAAAATACTAACGTGATACTGAAGGAAAACAAGTGTACACATTTCATTTCCCCTTTTTCGCAGCGAAATCATTCCTTTGCTTTATAGACAAGTAAATGCACTAAAATACTTCGTTACATGGTACCAATTAATAAGCATGTATCAACTATGTTACACGATCACAAATAGACGATATCAGCACCAAACTCCTCACAGCTGTTACGTCACGCTTTGCTACTTTAACTGTACAGCTCAGGGGAAGTAACCGCTGCGAGGAGTGGGAAGGTTAATGATATGCATGGGCTATTTTTAGATTACCTCACCAAGAAGTTCAGTATATCTAAATATAACTCGATCATGCGTGATTTTGTAAGCAGGACCACCCTTTGAAGACGGAATACTAAGTACTACAGTGTATAAAACTAATACAGACAAAAAACAATTGTAAAAGAAACTAAGTTTTGCGTCTTGAAAAACAATTAAAACGGAACAATTTCGTTTATAATTTATTACGGTTTAAACCGATAAATCAAGTAAAAATAGAAATCCTATTTATATAAACAAACTGGGATTACCGAAGTAACTAAAATAGCTTAGATTTCAGTAATAATTACTTCGTCTGATTCCGCAGTATGACGGAATCGCCCGAATTGTCACGATTGCAATCGGAACTACAGGGGTTATTATCTTTTAACCCGGGAAAGAGTGAGGGAAAAAAGGCCCGAAAATTGGGCAAATTGGCACGATTGCAGTTTGGTTTCCCTTTCAATCATGCCAAAAACCCAGAGGTAAACGGGAAAACCCAAACCTAACCGGAACAATTTTTCCCCATATAAAATTTGGTTTTGCGCCATGGCTGCAAGCCAAAAAATCCTTAATTAACTGGGCGCCGCCATTTTGAAATCCTTTTGAGCTAAATATAGATATCATAGCACTTTAAATGAGCGTCTACATAATTCAGACTATTGCTAGCAGATGCATGCTAAGTAAACTTCCGGTGAAAGAATGATGTACAAAATCAGAAAATAAACCTGCATTTCATTGATAAGAATTTTAGTTACGATTATAAATAAAAAAAGTTACTTTAACATATCCTTTTTGATGAGTTAGCACATTAAAAAAAATAACTGTGATTAGAGATTAACAAAAAATGGCGGACGGGATTTTCCAAACTTCGACGCATGCGCAGAGGTCCCCCTTTACGTTCGGAGATTTTCGGAATAATCCGAGCGATCTGATGATAGGTTGACCACTACCAATTTATTCGTTTTGTTTATGGTACAAAATGCCTTCAAGAAAGATCACACTGCTAAATTCATAAGAGCTTTTCCGCGCCATAGGTAGCACCTAATTTCATATTATAGGTCTTGTTTACATAATTTGACATTGTTCTGATGATTAAGGGGAGATTATTCTATATGAATTTGATCATTCTTGGCAATGAAAATGTGCCGAACGCCTCTGACCGGCACGCAAAAACTTCACGAATGTGGCACCGACGCTTACTGGGTAAGGTAGCTCTCCCTGTTTTTCGAACAGTCGACCTAATATAAATAAAGGATCAGTACAGGTATTGCACACATTTTGGACGACCAACTGAGAATTTTATTTGTCAATCACCGAACACCCACAGGGTGTCATGTATCAAAACCATTACAGAGTGAATTTGCATATAAAACTATTTTTTTTTTCTTGTTGATTTCAACTCCTACTTGTTAATTTAATCAATATGCGAAATTTAATGATAATTTGCTGACTTTCACCTTATTTGCCGCCATGATTGTTTAGCGCCACCTAGTCCTATAAATATGACGTCGCTTTGAGATATTTTTGCTTCTTGGCAAAGCAACGTCATGTATCGAAATTGCTCAAAAACCCATAGCATGTTCCGCCAGAAAATCGGGCGGAACGAAAAACAATGAAGACAGCGTGTAAATACATATTTTTTGACCTATTTATGAACAAAACTAAAAAATAAATACCTTTTGTCAAAATAATTAAACTGTCACATCCGAAAAATCATGATTAAATCCTCTCATGTATTTCAATTCCTTTTTACAGCCGATAAACAAATGGCGGCCGTAAAGTGCGCGAAATCTGATTGGCTAATTCAAATGCAAGCGTTTTAACTGAGTCAGAAACAATCTAACGGAATATTTTTTTAACGAAATAATTGCCCATGCACCGTCAGTGTGTTCGAATATATTTTTCCGTTCAAAAATTTGGAATCAATCTGTAAAGCACCTTGCTTAACCAGTATGGCTGATAGACAAAAATTGATTGATGTTTTATATTTGATTTTAAATTGATAAGTTTCATCGTTTGACAGTTTTTGTGTATGATTGAGCATGAAATTGAAAGAAAATATGATAAGCTTTTGAATAAAGCTTGAAAGGCAGGACAATAGACATTTTTTGAATTTTTTATGATGCTATGCGTTTTTGAGCAATAACTATTAGACGTCAGGCTTGACCGACAAAAACTATAACAAGCCTGTAACGTCTAATATATTGGACTAAGCGCCACCTATCGTGCAACGATATAAAACCAACAACATACTCTCAGGGTCTGACACCGCTAATATTTGTATTTATTTTCGCACATTTATTATAAATCATGTAAAATACCAGGTCACGGTATGCTTTATTTCGCTAACGAGAATATGCTCAAACAATGACTTAAATACCATTCTAAATAAATAAATAAATAACAAAATAAAAATAAAATAAAATAAAAAAACAACAAAAAAATGAAAATCCATACTGTACTGGTTTCCTAACCGGTTCCAATTATTAAATAGCACATTTTAACAAACCAAATAAAAATCTGTCTACGGACGAGTGCAAAACTTTGACAGGACAAAGTTAGGAACTTGAGGGGAACCTGGATCGTATTCTTTTGTCATATGAATAACCTATTGTGTTATTAACATATATTGTTTCATTAAAACATTTGTAATTTGTTAAGACCAAACTTAAACAAGCGATGAGAAAAATAAATCTCAGTACCTGAACACATGTAAGAGATGCTGCATGAAAACGTGTTTTCAAATGATAGAAGAAAATTTGCCTAAAAAGAAATAATTATTTGCGTGATCAAAAATTTGCAAATAATTTCATTTTTCAAAAATCGCAAATATTTCCACATACATATACACTCTTCCATGAATTGTATGTATTTGATTATAGTGTGCACCAGCGTATTAGATCGAACCATCCGGACGGCCATGGGATAACGCTAATCCTCACAAGTCTTTCAACACACAAAGTACAAGAAATAGTATGATCGATGACATTCGGGGGAAATCGAACCTTAGCTCGTGTTTGAAAATTGGCAGCTTAAATGTTAGTGTTTAAAAAAATAAAACTTAATGTGTTTTTAGAATAAGTTAATTCATACGAAATTTTCTGTATTTTAGAAACCCCTATTGACTCATGGAATAAAGTTGACATTCCTGAATATGTTCTTTTTTCATTTAATTTACCTAGATCAAAAAGAATATAGATTCAAATCTGCAGGTATCGGTGTTTCCTGTACGTTTAGGCTTATCCCAGTATGTTAAATTAGTATATAGACTATGTATTGTGGCTGTCGTTAGATACACAGCTATTACCAATTTCACGGAAAATGTCTTAATTGGTGCTATTTATTTGCCACCTTTTTACAATTGAAGATGAATTTAATACTTAAGCATGTTTGAAAATGAGTTGTTAGTATATGTTGCAAATTGAAAAAAATACTTAAGTTAATTGGCGATTTAATTCAAGGACGTCCGAATAAAGAAATCATATACCATCTGACCCATTTTATGAGACTTTTTTTGACGTATACATATATAACACACACGTGGAAGTCCTGTTTTGATAAGCATTTAATTTTAGAAAAATTTGTCCGTGTCATCAAACAGAAAAATGTCAAGATTGTAGATTAAATTCTCATGGGTTACTAGTACTTCGAAAGAATAATATGTTTATCTCATATGGTCGAATGTGAAAACGATCAAAATGGTGCTTTCACTTTGAAACACAAGTCTGTCATTGATTCCGCCTTTTCAATGGCTTATTATTTTGAGTGATAAATGTATATTTTAACGTTTATTGAAACGAACCATTTACTGTCAAATGACATAGTTTATTAAGAGTATATCTATAGGGCCCTCCCGTCTCCTGAAATCGATTCAACAAATACATTGGCAAAAATGATAAACTCGCACAATACCGTATTAACATAGATTTGGCAAGGTTGCAACGAATTGCTGGTCAGCTTAACTCCTCCTCACAGTCACCACAAACAGTTGCGTTTTATTACAAACCAGGTAAGCGACCTACTTTCCATTGCGACAAACACTACTTTTTTACAAAAAATCTCGTGGGCGTAGTAAATTCTAAATAAATGTCCTTGGCTTGAATTCACCTCTGGCTTTCCCTAATAATGTCCTTTAATATGTCCTTACCTGCACCTCCCTCTGTTGTCACTATACTGTTAAGATACAGGTATGTAAAGGATTCAATTGCATGTATCTTTACTGGGGGCTTAATTTGTGTTTAAGGACATGGTCTCTCTCATATTGACTTCCAGGCCAATTTTACTTACATTATCCTGGAGTTTTTTTTGTTTTATGTTGCTTAGTATCAGTACATCTTTCTAGAAGTGATAGCAAAGCAAGGTCATCCGCATAGTTGAGATCTTCCAGATTTGTAAAGTGAGACTACTTAATACTTGTGTTGTCTCCACTCGTTGATTTGTTTACCCAATCTACAGCTATTATAAAAAGGAGAGCTGCTTTATATCTTTCAACACAACAGTTTTTTCCTTTTCTGAAACCTACCTGTTCCTGTCTCAATTTAGTGCAACTGCAATTTTTATTTGATCAGTTATTATCCTACTAAAACTTTAATAGGGATAGATAGTAGTGCGATTCCTCTCCAGTTACAGTTTGTGAGATCTCCCTTCTTTGGAATCTTCATTATGTCTCCCTTAGACCACGTTATTGGTATCATTGTTCCAGATCTTTATGAACACATTGATATTTGGTACAAGTCACCCATTCTTTAACATCTTTCTCAGCCTCTCTTGCCATTCCCTCTATGAATTGTTTAATTATGATATCTCATTGTTGCCTCTTTTACATCTCTATTGCAATCAGCATTTTGTTCTTTTAATCTTTCTTTTATTCTCCCTCAGTGTTAGATAATTTAATCTTTAGTTTTTTCTGCTTTCAAATTTTCCGAGTATCTGGTGTAAAACATTTTTTATGAACCTGTCTTTCGTACCTTAGAATCTTCTTACTTGCTTCCTTAAATGCAGTACATACTTTCTCCCATTGTTCATCATTCCTAATATCATCACTTTGCAAGATTTGAACTCTGTTTGTAACTTCTAATTGGAAATCATGTCTTGTTTTGCTGTCTTTCAGTTAACCAGTATTTATTCCTTTTACACTGTTTTCAGGTGTTACTTTCATGAAATTAAGTTTGATGTTTACGGTGATCACTTCCAATATCAGCCCCCACGTCTCACTCTTCCAGGAAGTGGAAAAGAGGGAGGTTAAAACATTTCTATGCTTTTCTTACAATTGAGCTCAATAAACTGAATTAGAAATATATTTAAGAACATTAATTTATGCTATTTTATGTTAAACTTTTCATAGAATCTAACTAGATGTTTCTAACAGAGTATAAAGCTTAGAGTATTAATCGTGAAGGTATAACAGAACTAGATATCGTTGCTCCACAATTAAATTACTAAGGAAAATGAAGTACATGTTACTAAAATGAACAATTTTACACTTATCCGATAAATATTGGATGCCAAAAAAAACAAGCATAAAGCTACAAGAGTTTTATCAACAGTCAGTTTATTGTTTGGTCTATTTTCCAACATCAGGATTGTCTACACAACAATAGAATTCTACATCATTAAGAGCCGTGTCATCACCATCGGTCAAAGGCTGTTCAACGCGTGTCTTTATCCCACAGATAGCTGACATTGGAGGACAGCTATCACTCCAGCCGCCCATCTGTCCAAAATGTCCGTATCCCGGTGGGGAAGCAAGTTCAAATGGTTTGTAAACAGACCCAAAGTCTCTGCATTTAAACTTCACGTAATTGGCCGCTGTATCGTCAGCGTACTAGTTATGAGAGATTTCAGAAGGTTACTCAATATTGTTATAATAAGATCAACAGATTAATATGATATAGAATTAAAAAATATCAAACGTTTTCAGTGTATAACATTACATACATTCTGCTGCTTTCAATCTAAATTAAAACAATTTTGGAATGTAAATGTTTAAAACAGATTTGTTGAGTATATTGTTATTGTGTATCTCTTGTTAATGTTTCATTAAATGAATTTCAAATACATCTTATATTAGATCATATCAACCCTTCTATCTTAGACAGTCCTACAATTATCATTATTTATCAATATGCATGATCAATCACTACCTGTACATAATCGATAGTCCGTTTATATTCCCTTTATCTATCGCCCCAGCTAATTCTCTAAAATATAAACTAATTTTACTTTCCGATTTTTTTTCTGTAAATTTGTAAAGAAGTTTAAATGGGGGTTTAATTTTGAAAGTTTTTGTCATAATTGCAAGTAGCTAACAGGCATGCGTAATATTTTAAATGATTTGTTACAGCTTGTTAAAATTGCACCCACCGTCCCAACACTTTCAAAAAGACCAATATGATTGGATTTACTATTCATTTAAATAAGTCAATCATATGGTCTCAGAATCTTTAAATACATACCCCTACACTTCCTTGCACTTGTAGTTGAAATGCTGTGAGGAAAGCAGGCGTTCCATCGATATTGTGACACGATGCGTTGTTATACCAAGTACCCCAAATACCTTGATTCGAAGTGACCTTCCCTCCATAACGAACTCCGTCAGGATCTTTACACACTAGTGCAATCGCATTCAAGGAAGTATCATCACCGTTAAGTTGATATTGCTCAATCTATAAAAACAAGTTCTAGTAGTAAAATGCTTCAAAAGGAGATATTAATTTTGCATATTTAACTTTCCAAAACATACAAATTTAATGAAATAGAGAAAAAAGGAATCCTTAAAACGCTCAAAACTGCAAAAATTGAAAACCTTGCAGGAACTTGATCGGTTGATTGAGCCAGTGGTATTTATCATTTAAACTGAACTGGTAAAACTTTTAATTTAGTAGGATTCGCAGATGTGTTCATACGGCGGCTATCATGAAACCTTCAATGCGACACGTTCATGTCATTCCATAATCAAGCGTTGTAACTATGCCCCCAAGTCAAAGGGTGCGTGTGCCCCCAACGATAAAACAATAGGCGAAACAAAATAAGATAGAATTATGAAAGGGAATTAGAGGTTATGAAGACTGCATATCGCAGAAAAGCAGATTTTAAAAGCTGGCGACATATACTTAGGCTGATTCAACATTAAGTATGGTGTACTGGAACCACCCATCTAGAAGAAGACCAGATCGGAAGAACTAAAGGTTCCATTACCCAACCAAAATGTCGTACTGAACGATCTTCAAACATTGGAAATATAACACTGAGTGAAATACATGTGTATGATAATTCTCATACCACTACATGAAAATAAATCCTGTATTAATAGAAAAAAACTTGAATGTTCTGTTTCTTATATACATTTTTTTCTTTTTGATATCACAATGTGAAAGACTTCCCCTTAAATTATGTGTGTTGGCTGAATTTTAAAGAAAGAAGTCCTGCAAGATACAAGTGAACATACCGAAAATATATGTTTAATACAGTATATTTCATTGATAAGTATATAATAAAATGTTAATTTCGTGTTAGTTCGTTACTGAATTTATTGAACTCGTTGAATAATTTTAGTATTAAATCTCTACTTCATTCAATTATACCCTCTATATCCGCTCTTTGTTATTAACATTTTTGTGAAATGGTAGAGCCGAGTACCTTTACGGTTTAAAAACGATATAGAAAAAGAATTCATGGCGTGCTTACCTTCAGTTTGATAGCCGACAGCATTACGGTTCCTTCAGCACAAAACTTGTGTTATTACCCCATCTTTCCCCATGATCCACCGTTAGATACTTTTAAAACTTTTTACTATGCGTCGTGGAGCAATCTGGAAGAAGAAAATAAAAGACACTGATATATTCATACATAAAAGAAATAGAAAAAACATTTTCTATCCATTGTGCTTGAACTCACGTGCACAATCTGATAATGAAAGGTACTTTTAGTCTTATCTTGCTGTCAGAGATAGCGAAAAAAAAAACAACAGTAACATAATTAAAAGTTATAACAGTGTGACGTTTTCGTTATCTCATACACTATTATGGACACTGTTACCTTCGTGAAGGTCTCACCCAAAGCCTGAACTTTAAATTCTTACAAATTTTAGAAACATCGTCAATTGATTTTATGATATACTACCACTATCATTTCAAATGTTTCAGAAAGAGGTCCACAAAAATATCCCAGTATTTTACCGGAATGATATTTTATTGGATCTTTCTCTGAAATCTAAAGTATTTTAAAAAATGTACAATGAAATATCGATATTTTGTTTAAAGAAAAATATCTAAATAAATTTAGTGTCTTAATGCCAAAAAAAATACTGTACGGTATAGGTAGTGTTTTATGAAATATTTTTTCCCAGGGTGCATTTTACTGGGACACCGAAAAGTCGCTTACGGTATGGGAAAAATAACAGACGATGCTTATCTGTTATCTGTGATAAATACTAAATTATTTATATCTAGATCTGAATGACATAGCTTTATAGCAAGTTATATTTAAAGTGAATGATGATATGGTTGTTGAAAGCATACCAGCATGCGCTGAAAGTGCATCCTATCCGAACGGCAGCAATTTCTGCAGGTAAAATTTTCCAACATTGCTTTACCGTGTGACATGTTCTTTTAATGCCATTAATTTTAGAACACGGGCAGGGCTTTGAATGAGTATCTGAATAATTTTTATAGTGATGAGAATGTTTGCCAATTGCCAATCCACTCTTTATTCTTTACAAAACAAAACAGATATCTACTTTACAAAAAAAACTTAACCATTTAGGAAATTTACAGTTTATTTGAAGTAAAATACTTCTTTCATACAAATATCTATTTTATTTTTTAGAAATACATCCCATATGTCCGCAAAAACTTTAATGTTTTCCAGATACACTTATGTTTACTGTGTAAAATGTAATGATTTCCAGGTACATTCATGACTACTGTAATATGAAATTAGGTGCTAGCTACCTATGGCGCGGATTTTTTTTTTCACAGCTCATTAGGTATAGGATATATATTTTTTTTTGAAATTTTCATTTACTTTTAATTTGATTTCATTTGAATTGATACTCGTCATACATGTTATCTAAGAGTGCTACAGCCTTCGCGGGGCGTTTGGGCCCCGCTCGGCTTTCCGCGTATAAAATGTAATGATTTCCAGGTACACCTCATGATTGACTGTATGAAATGTAATGATTTCCAGGTACACTCATGATTACTGTATAAAATGTAATGATTTCCAGGTACACTCATGACTACGGGTGATGCTATAGCTCAGACTGTTATAGAGAAGAAGAAATTAATCACAGTTTGAACTTAAACGATCACTGAGATTTGTAGTGTTTGGTACTTTCTTGGCTGTAAGTAGTAGTACATCAGCATGCCTGAAAATAGCCTAGATTTGAGCTAATTGCACTATTTCTGACTTATTAGGCTCTTAACCTGCTATGTTTGTGGTAGCAGAGGATTAGCTAAGCTTTGAAATATGGAACAATATATTTGATTTGATACAATGCTAAAAATACAAAAGCTAATCACCTTTGGTTCCAGCAGGTTAAGTGTCTAACCAAGATGTTCTTAGCATAACTGTTGAACATATTCCACCTAACCTTATGTTATCAAGTTGCAGGGTTGTTTTGTTGTTGTTGTTTTTTTCGTTTAGAGATGTAGTCTGGTATTTGACTTCTCAGCAAATTAATGCAAGAGCTAAGATATTGGGGTTGGCATTTTAATATAATAACAAAAAATAAGACTTACTTCTGTTCTACTATTTAGTGTTATAATTAGTGGCGATGACAAAGCATTTTTAGGCTCACTGAGCTTGCTCAAGGGTGGAGCTTTTAGGATCTGGTGAATGTCGTCGTACCAGCGTCGTAAGACGTCCACAATTTGCTTGTGAACACTCTTACTAGCGGTCCAGCATTTTTGCCTCAATCGTCATCAACTTGGTCGGGATGCTTATCTAGTTGAAAGCTCAGATGAGTTTGTTGAACATGGCATCATCATCGGATGAAAAACTAGGTCACAAGAGCTAAAAATAGAAAAACTTGTGAACACTCTAGAGGTCACATTTTTGACCCAATCATCATCAAACTTGGTCAGGATGTTTTGTCTAGATGATAGCTCGGATGAGTTCGAACATGGGTCATCTCGGATGAAAAAGTAGGTCACCGGAGCTAAAAATAGAAAACCTTGTGAACACTCTAGTGGTCACATTTTTGAACCAATCTTCATCAAACTTGGTCAGATTGCTTGTCTAGTCAATTGCTTGGATAAGTTCGAACATGGGTCATCTCTGATAAAAAACTAGGTCACAGGAGCTAAAAATAGAAAAACCTTGTGAACACTCTTAGTGGTCACATTTTTGACCCAATCATCATCAAACTTTGTCAGGATGCTTGTTTAGATAATAACTCGGATGAGTTCGAATATGGGTCATCTCGGATGAAAAACTAGGTCACCGGAGCTATAAATAGAAAAACCTTGTTAACACTCTAGCTGCCACATTTTTGCATCAATCATCATCAAACTTGGTCAGGATGCTTATCTAGTTGATAGCTTGGATGAGTTCGAAACATGGGTCATCTCGGATGAAAAAGTAGGTCACCGGAGCTAAAAATAGAAAAACCTTGTAAACACTGTAGCGGTCACATTTTTGCATCAATCATCATCAAACTTGGTCAAGATGCTTGTCTAGGTGATAGCTCGGATGAGTTTGAACATGGGTCATCTCGGATGAAAAAGTAGGTCACGCGAGCTAGAAATAGAAAAACCTTGTTAACACTCTAGTGGTCACATTTTTGCATCAGTCATCATCAAACTTTGTTAAGATGTTTGTCTAGGTGACAGCTCGGATGAGTTTGAACTAGGTGTCATCTCGGATGAAAAAGTAGGTCACCGGAGCTAAAAATAGAAAAACCTTGTTAACACTCTAGCGGTCACATTTTTGTATCAATCATCATCAAACTTGATCAAGATGCTTGTCTAGGTGATAGCTCGGATGAGTTCGAACATGGGTCATCTCGGATGAAAAAGTAGGTCACCAGAGCTAAAAATAGTAAAACTTTGTTAACACACTCTAGTGGTCACAATTTTTGACTCAATTGTCATTAAACTTGGTCAGGAAACTTGTCTAGGTCATTGCTGGTAATAAATCGAACACATGGGACATCTCGGATGAAAAACTAGGTCACAGGAGCTAAAAAATAGAAAAATCTTGTTAACACTCTAGTGGCTACTGTGTGATCCAAATATTCTGTTAATTGGTCTGAAAGTTTGTTTTTGATGATTTTAAGTCAAGATCGAACATGGGTCATCTTGGATGAAAAACTAGGTCACACTGCCTAAATATGGAAAAAAACCTTGTTAACATTCTAGTGGTCAAATTTTCGACTCAAATTATCATCAAACTGGTCAGGATGCTTGTCTAGGTAATTGCTTGGATGAGTTTGAAATCGCATGTGAAACTAGGTCACCGGAGCTGAAAATAGAAAAATCTTGTTAACACTCTAGTTTGCTACTGTTTTGATCCAAGTATCCTGGAAATTGGTCTGAAAGTTTGTTTTGATGATTTCTAGGTCAAGTTTGAATATGTGTCACCTGGGTAAAAAAACTAGGGTCGCACTGCTCAAATATGGATAATCCTTGTTAATACTGTAGTGGTCACATTTTTGACTCACCTGTCATGAGACTTGGTCAGAATGCTTGTCTAGGTAATTGTTTGGATGAGTTTGATGGTCAGGTGAGTGATCTAGGGCCATCATGGCCCTCTTGTTTATTTGTTTGGGTCGTCAGACCAAACAAATAATGGTAGCGAAATTTCAGAGCTTAATGCTGTTAATTGCAAATGCCTAAAGTAGTCCACTTTTTTTGCAGCGGTTATTTCCCTTTATATGTACACTAACGCCGAAAAATTCAGGGGAGATCAATGCGTAAAGATTGTCAAATGACAGGCACATTAATTTTCAAGCAAAGTAGTTCCCTAATGGTCGAAGATATCTAATATTGTTTCATTCTTTATAGATCAGTGTTTTTTTCTCACTTTTTTTGGGGAAAGGGGTCGGTGCCGTTGGAGGGGGAAAAATGCAAAATGAGGGGGAATTTTATTTCTTCGCAAATGAAGAAACAAAAAAGAATCCAATGCATATTTTAATACATCACTTACCACTTTAAGATTTACTTTTGTTTGACATTGTTTTCTTTCCAGTGAGTAGAAAAGAAAACAACTCTTGCAACACAAGTTTAAAATACGTCGCTTTTTCTTAATATGCGGATCTAAAATATTGACAGCAGAATTTAAAGAGTCGCATGTTAAACTTGTTGGAACGCCAGGAGTAGTTCCCCTTACATACCCGGGAACAATTTGTAAACAACTTTGCTTAACAGTAAGTCTTACAGGCTTAATATGAAACATTTTTTCGGCAGTTATACGCAAAAACAATTGTATCCATGATGCAGGCTAATTTTGGCTGCCATATGAGGGGGAAATTTCGGCTTTTAGATGGGAAAAAAAAATACTATTTTGAGGGGGGAATGGGGCCCGAATTTCGCTGAATATTTTTGGTGAAAAAAAACACTGTAGATATACACATGCTTACAGTAAGCTCCATGATTATTTACATCTGTGTTTAGCGTCAAAATAATAAGAGTTACAAAACCTAATTTAGAATAATATGGTTTTCTTCAGGCCGTTAACATATAACTTCACTGTTGCCGAGGGGTTTTGCACGCTAGCTTATGAATCGAGTGGTCTCGAGTTTAAATCCCAGTTGAGGCAACTCATTTTTTTTTAAGTCAAATAAACATTGAATTGACGATCAGTCTTGCAATTAGTCTTATAGCCAATTTACTACAGTTAAAACACTGGAAAGCATTGGTGGCACTATACAAAAACAAATTGGTTTATAATCTCACAACCTTCACCTTTCTGAAATTCTGAGACCCAAACAAATTCAGCACCTTCTGTGCTTTGATTTCATAAATGCAATCCTTTGGTAAAAAATACAGCATTTAAGACAGGCAAAGAAAAAACTTGATGTGATTTTTTTTTTATATCTTGCTTGAATCAATTGATTTTTTATGGACAAAAATTATATGTCTCTATAAACATGAAAAAGCCCTGCAACTTGTTTAATAATTGTATATTAATTTTATATGCTTAAATTTGCTTAATTTTATTTATTAAATTTTGAATTTTTTTATTTTACATCTAATCTGTATGTTGTATTATATTATGTTTGATATAGTTACAATATCCTTTTAGTTTGTAGATTTATGTTTTGAATTGTCTTGAAATATGGATATAATATAGCATAGCTTTTAACAAATTAAATGAAATTCCTGTACCCTTCTAAATACCCTGCTAGTTTTTCATTTATTTGAAAGTATACATTGAAATTTACTCATCAATTAAATTCCTAAGTTAGCATGTTTTTGTTGTAAAACATTGACTATTCTTTGAATTGATAGATATACAGAATTATTTTTTATTTAAAGCACAAACAGAAGAATATTTGAAGGAGTAATTATTGTATTCTTGATATAGCAGAAAAAACGTAAAGGTGGTTCATATTTTAGTTAGATTAA